ACCAAACTTTAAACTGACATCGTACAATAAGTAAATTATTGAACAGAAAAATATATAATCCAAAATCAAACACATCTCTACACAAAACCAATGACTACGGACGCTCCCGGTCATACATACTGTAATTAAACTAGGCTACCTACAGTATTTACCTACTTAGGCTACCTATTGATTATGTGATAGAATAGGCCATGCAAACACGTTCGACAATTAATAATGCAAATGGTCACTACAAATAGCTATTTGGCCAAACAATGACTCTGAAGTTCAATTAATACTCCGCAAGAAGGTCGGTGTTTTTGCACCAAAGACGCGCGCACCATACATAGCACATAATAGGCTCTAATTTATTTAATTCATTTTACCACAATTCACAAATATGTAAAAACAACGCCTATTATCGTAACAGTCACGAGACTTACCGCACCCGTTGGACTGACAGAAGTAAGAAAGACACCAGCAACTTGGTTGTCATTGTTCATGAAAATGACTTATGATGAAGACCGTGGAGACTTCTGCGTTGTTAGAGCGGTGAGTAGAGGGAGCCAGGGAGGAGAAGGAGAGGTATATATAAACTGGAACTATTCACCCAGAGTATAGTTTCTTATAGGAAATCCATCAAATCTCCTGATAATCGACCATGGATTAGGTTTCATTCATCAGCGTTCAGAATGTCGCCAGGATTGTTTGAGCCGCTCCGTTCATTCTTTGCAACGTCAATGATCAATGTCTTAAACAGCAGCACCCCACCTCCTTCCGTTCCATACAATTACAGTAACCAGTTTATGCACCGACATGATGACGTTATCATTCACAGGGTACAGTAGGGCGTCTACCTAGAGAACGAGACTCGTAAAAAGCATTGAAAAAACATGAAAGTATGCAACCAACATCTTAACTTTGACTAGCCTATTCACTAGCCTATTCAATGTTTTTCATTGCGAATCGTAGCTCCTTATATCACATATCATTATCACTATTGCTATAAAACGCTTTTACTTTAAGATAAATAATCACTTAATAATTTTCAAGCATTTAGCCATGGAAAATGGCACCATATCCTCTCAAAGTTGCTCCCTTTCTGAGAAAAGGCAGGTTGCCCGCAATGCTTTCCCAATCAAAGTCGTGCTCTACCTGTTTTTAGGGCACCTGAAAATGTAAGCAGAACTGAAACTGTCCAGTAAACTATCGCAGGCTAAACCCTGACACATAATTAGACAGTCATGCTATTGGCCGCATGTGTTTTAGTAGCCTCTTTCGATTAAACCTGAAAAAATATTTACAAAACGTGAGGAAGTTTGCACTAAGAAGCCAGACCACCTCCCTGCGGCTGGCGGCAGTATTGCAATTTATAGCTACTATATGTGTCTGTCCAACCTGGTCTCAGAGCATTTCGTATTATTCTGTACGTAAATCCGAGATCCCTCGTTTTTATATGATATGTTATATTTCCCTGGTATGTATTAATTTGTGAATTTCAATAGCCATTTCGTATGATATGTTACCAATTACAATTCGTATTGTAGAATTTGCTAAACGTACAATATATTACACATTTCTAAATGTACAATATGTTACGGATTTGCAATATGTATGATATGTTACGAATTTTCTTGCTAGGTAGCTAGGTGGCTAATGTTAGCTAGCTGGCTAATGTTAGCTAGGCTAGGAGTTAGGGTTAGGGGTTAGGGTTAAGGTTAGGGTTAAGTTTAGGAGTTAGGTTAAAGGGTTAAGGTTAGGGTTAGGGGAAAGATTAGTTAAAAGGGTTACGTTTAAGGTTAGGGTTGGGGAAGAGTTAGCTAACATGCTAAGTAGCTGCAAAGTAGCTAAAAAGTAGCAAGTAGTTGAAAAGTTGCTAATTAGCTAAAATGCTAAAGTTGTTCGTGATTCGAACTCACAACCTTTGGGTTGCTAGACGTTCACGTTATACGCCTACCCATCCACCCCAACTAACCACCCTACTTTGCCTCAAATAACCATCTGTCTTATACCAAATGCAACATATAATTCTAATTAGTTTCCCGGATTTACTTTTACTATGTTACGTCTAGTATATGAGACCAGGCTGGTCTGTATGCCAGTGGAATAATACTGTACAGAGGATTTACCTTTTGATGTCTCAGACCCCAGATATAATCTACCCTAGTAGGAAATGGCAGCTTCCCATGTGTGGAGCAAGAAAGCAGCCACAGGAGAAGGAGAGAGACTTATTTTCCCCTGGATGCATATTATAATCCCACACCAATTAGAAAGCAAGCACCCATCTCTCCCATTATGTCAAGCTAATGCATTTTGAAAGATGTTCATGACATATAAATACATCTGAATCAGGATGTATTCATCCAAATCCTCCAACAAGTAGACCAATACTCCTGCTTTCTCACCAGTTTGATTCAAATAGATGAATTATGTGGCTTTACTGTGTAATACAATTTGCCTGATACAGCCTATCTACATGCAACATGCATACACAGAGGATATAGACTACTGTGACTGAAAACCATCCATTCTATTTGATCATTTCTTCCCTGAACAAATAATATAATAATAGGGTAAAAAGTGATTTCTGTGTACTAATTTAATCAAATAATGTACGTACATTTATTGACACACTGATGGGTGGTAGTGTATGCACTATGCTAAGCTACATCCTCATAGCGATGAGCTATCATGTGTCTTTGTCTCAGCATAGCATTGCAATTCTACATTTCTCCCTGCCTGCTAACACGCACCCCAGCTGTCCACTGCATAGGAGCGCCACCATTTGTCATCAGTTAGGGCTTAAATTGGAGGGAAGCACACAGGGCTCCTGAATGGAAAAGCAACTTAAGCGGAACTAAATCCTTGACAAACAGATGTATGGCAGATGTGGCTGCCACAGTGACTGATGGGATGGAATCAGTCCTCTCTCTCCCCACACAACAGGACCTCACAGGCCAATATTTCTATAATCCAGCGAGTCATCAGTGCAGTCCCCTCCTCTCCTATCCTGTGCTAGTTGCTATTAGTAACAAGGGATAGCTCATACATGACACCTCCATGGGGTCATGTCACATTTGTTCCATTAATATGTACTTTAAGTCTGATTGTTGGATTTCTTTTCAGAGGGACGCTTCATTGTCAAGTGCAAAAAAAAATACAAAAATGACTGCAACCTCAAATTATGTACACATTTACACCAGTACAGGGAGAATAGTACACATAACTAATTAATATACAGTATCTGACAATCATTTCAATAGGTTTGATTTGCAATGGGATGACAGCATTTAATGATGTGACAATTTACTTTGTAAAAGTCCTTTATCTTGAAAACTTGATTGCTGACATGCAAAACAATTTTGGGGCTGTATCAGTGGACTAATGAAAAAAATTGTTTTTTTGTGTGGATTAATCCTTTAATACAAGATGTCACATAGAGACATACAAATAAAGAGGTATTTTAGTCACTGTCTCTATATTCATGAAGAATGTCTTTGTTGGATTTGAATATAAAATAATAATAATAATACATGTACAGTTATTGCGTTATCTACAACATGACACTTTAATGAGAACTGTACAGTCAGTGACATTTAAAGTATCCATCCGTCACCAATATTATCCATCATCATATCCATCATTATTAATCTATTCTCTCTCTGTACATGCTGTGTCAACGAGTTTATATGATTCTCAGGAACAGCTTCTTTCATATAGGCTGTATCTCCATCTTTTACTGAAGTAGGGATTATTTTTTCTCCCCAGTAAGGTGGCCTTGAAGCTCAAATTTATTATTTCTTGTTTCATCCATTCTTCTTCTTTCTGTGTTACCACAGAGGCACCATGCCCCAGAGCCCTACCCACATGCTCTCCTTCCCGTACCCTGAACAAAGCGTTCTGGGCCTGGGGTGAGGGTGGGTGGTCTGTCCCCTGTGGTTGGTTCTCTCTCCAGAGGCCATATCAGATAGAGTGTTTAACAGGTACAAGCTCATTATCCCAGGCTAATTAGATCCTAGCCGACTTCAGGGACTGGAGCCAATCTGGTCATGACACAATGAGGATAGGACAGCAGTGTTGGAGGGCTGTGTTCAGTAGGGCACATCGTAGCAAAATGTTTTGAAACAGAAAACGATAATAAGTGTTTCTTATTGGACAAATCCAGGAAGTCCCTCCCTGTTTCAGTCAGTTTTTCCCCATTTGATGCCTAATGAACACGACCCTGAAAACGTATCCTGTTACAGTACATGAGTTCAACCTTTCACACCAAAAGGGCAGCTCAATACTTCAAAGTAGACATCTACTCCCTCTAGTTTAGGAAAACACTTACATTGCAATTGAAAAAGTCAGACCTTATCTATCAACCATTTTATAACTTGGTAATGATTAGAATGTTCGGACTGTGCGCTTTCACCCAGGTTGATTTGACTGTATCATCAATTACATCACAGAATTGTATCTTGCTGTCTTATTTTGCTTCTGTCTCCACAGGTAGACCCAAGTTTGTCAAAAATTATTAATCTGTACATTATATAGATAGAGGTAAGAAATAGTAACATTTTAAATTGTACAAACAGTACATGTGTGATGGGCAAAAATGACAAAAGTATAACAACATATGTATCCAATAGAGATAAGAGAGATTTGGCTGCAGTATTATACAAATTGACTGGAAATGACATTATTCTCCACTTTCCTTAACATCCTAGCTTCCGATATCTTATTTCATACTACTAACACAGCAGGTATTCCTCAGTCTCTTACTCTTCAAGATGACAAGGTTATAAACAACAACATAAATGCCATGACAGTTTTCAATTAATTTGAGGCCAGGACAAATGTCCACACTGCAGCATTTCAAAAGGTCCTTGTCAAATTTCACTTTCAAAATGTCATTGATTTTCACTTTCAAAATGTCATTGTTGAATTAAAGCAATGTACAGTAGGTATAAAGAAGGAATACCAAGGCAAACATGGTTAGAGTATCTCTCTAAAAGCTTCATGCAAATGACAGTATGAGAAAGACAGAACCCATGACATCTCCCATCCTTTGTGATACAGTAGCATTTCCTTTAGCAGTTTGTAGGCCAATATGGTTGAAGGTAGGGTCGTGTGTTTGAAAAAGACACTATGTTGGAGCCAATATGTTGACTCCTTTGATGACAGGTTCTCTGTTGAGGTAAGTAGCCCAGTACACTAGGTTAAAGGTTCCAAAGAGGACAGGGAAAACTATCCGGGACATTTTGTCGATTTTACTCACGCTGTTGTAGGTTTTCTTGGGGTCCAGGACTTTGGTTTCGGATGACCTTAGTTGTATGGAGGTGCTGTTGGAGATGGTGGAGATAGAGATATCCTTAGTGATGTTGGGGGTGTAGTTAACTCCTGCTGTACAGACGTTGTTGGGCTTCTTAGAAAGCACCATAGGGTCCCTTTTCTGTTGAGATAAAACATTAAAAATGTATCATTTAATATTTAATACGGTACTATTTGTGTTGGATGGATACAAATAGACTGTGTTACCTGTAAGCCCACACAAACCTGGGCTAAACGTTTTTTATTTTAACTTAACCATTTCTGTCAGTAATTATTATGCATGTACAGCATCAATGTTTCCATCATGTCATCCCAAAAACACGACCATAGCTCTCTATCACTTTTCAATAGTGTTTCATAGATTGTTTTCCAAAGGGAGCGTGGGATACATGCTGGGTCCCTCCATGGACTCACCTTTGGGTGCTGAGCCTCCATGGCCTTCTTGCCATCCCACGCCCAGCTCCTCTTGGTGAAATAGTTGACGGTGGCAAACTCGATAAGCGCGGAGAACACGAACGCATAGCACACAGCGATGAACCAATCCATGGCTGTGGCGTAGGCCACCTTAGGCAGCGAGTTGCGAGCGCTGATACTGAGAGTAGTCATAGTCAGCACTGTAGTGACACCTGGTAGAAAAACATACAAGTCATGTTCATTAGGACACACAGTGGAAAAGGTTTTCAAACGTTTTGCAACAGAAAAAATTAAACATAGTTCCTTCCTGTTTCAGTCCGTTTTCTTCCATTATATGCCTAATGAACAGTACCCATGTATGATGAGTGAGCAACAGGTTGTAATGTATTATTTAGTATATGGGAATAGAGTGGTGGACATAATCTGTAGTGACGTGTGGAAGCTGTAGACATTCAGGGATCATCAACTAGATTCAGCCCTTGGGCCGATTTGTTCTTGAGCGGATGGTCAGGGGGCAGGAACATAATTACAAATAATTTGTAGACTGCAAATTGACCGCAAGAAGACCAAACAGGTATAATATTAGACTAATACATAATCATTTCAAACCTTGCTTACATTTGCATTCGATAACATACAGTATACACTATATATACAAAAGTATGTTGACACCCCTTCAAATTAGTGGATTTGGCTATTTCAGCCACACCCGTTGCTGACAGGTGTATACAATCGAGAACACAGCCATGCAATCTCCATAGACAAACACTGCCAGTAGAATGGCCTTACTGAAGAGCTCGGTGACTTTCAATGTGGCACCGTCATAGGATGCCACCTTTCCAAAAAGTCAGTTCGTCAAATTTCTGCCCTGCTAGAGCTGCCCGGTCAACTGTAAGCCCTGTTATTGTGAAGTAGAAATGTCTAGGAGCAACAACAGCTCAGCCGCGAAGTGGTAGGCCGCACAACCTCACAGAGCGGGACCGCCGAGTGCCGAGTGCCGAAGCGCGTAAAAACCATCTGTCCTCAGTTGCAACACTCACTACAGGGTTACAAACTGCCTCTAGAAACAACATCAGCACAAGAACTGTTCATCGGGAGCTTCATGAAATGGGTTTCGATGGCCGAGCAGCTGCACACAAGCCTCAGATCACCATGTGCAATGCCAAGCGTCAGCTGGAGTGGTGTAAAGCATGCCGCCATTGGACTCTGGAGCAGTAGAAACGCGTTCTCTGGAGTGATGAATCCCACTTCACCATCTGGTAGTCCGACGGACGAATCTGGGTTTAGCCGATGCCAGGAGAACACTACCTGCCCGAATGCATAGTGCCAACTGTAAAGTTTGGTGGAGGAGGAATAATGGTCTGGGGCTGTTTTTCATGGTTGGGGCTAGGCCCCTTAGTTCCAGTGAAGGGAAATCTTAACGCTACAGCATACAATGACATTCTAGACGATTCTGCGCTTCCAACTTTGTGGCAACAGTCCTGTTTCAGCATGACAATGCCCCCGTGCATAAAGCGAGGTCCATACAGAAATGGTTTGTCGAGATTGGTGTGGAAGAACTTGAGTGGCCTGCACAGTGCCCTGAGCTCAACCCCATCGAACACCTTTGGGATAAATTGGAACGCAGACTGCGAGCCAGGCCTAATCGCCCAACATCAGTGACCGACCTCACTAATGCTCTTGTGGCTGAATGGAATGGAAGTCCCCGCAGCAATGTTCGCAGAAGAGTGTAGGCTGTTATAGCAGCAAAGGGGGGACCATATTAATGCCCATGATTTTGGAATCAGATGTTCGATGAGCAGGTGTCCACATACTTTTTATGGTCATGTAGTGTATCTCTCTATTATCCGTGGGAATACTTTGGAATAGATTTCCAAAATGAATATCACTTAGAGTTGTTTTGCCGGTGTTTTTACAGTCTTTTATGTCCAACAATAAATATATTTAAAAAACGACGTATTTATCTTTGCTCAGAAAACTTGGGGGGCCAAATAAAATCACCCCGCCAGTTGGGGAACTCTGCTGTAGACGTTCAGAGGTTTTCTAGGGACAAGAGAAAGGTGGTCATCACCTGTGATGTCTATAATTGCCTGAAAATCAATTTCATATTGGCATCATCATGGATGATACAGATAATGGTAGTTTAACCAGGTCGTTACTGTTAAAGATAATGTGTTCTCAATTACTTATCTGGCTAACTAAAGGTTTATATAAAAAATCTAACAGGATTCATAAAAATTGTGATGATTGTATGTGTTGGGTGACGGGGCAACACATACTGTCAATTTTGAGTTGAAAGTACACTTTTAGTTAGAGTTGATCCAAGTGGTTGTGTTGCGGTCATACTAACCAAAGACGGTCCTGGCAGGTACAGATTCACGGTTGAGCCAGAAGGACACCTGGGACAGGATCACGGTCATGAAGCAGGGCATGTAGGTCTGAATGACAAAGTAACCAATCTTCCTCTTCAGGTAGAAGTGACACATCATGACTGTGTACTGTCCTGTTGGTTTAGAGGACAGTGAGAGAAAGATACGTTCATTATTGCAGTTGTAACAATGATAGAGATATGCAGTAGACAGAGATAGTGAATGGCAAAGTCATCCTGCATTTTTATATCATTGTATTATATTTGATAATTTTATCGAATTTTATAATAATATGCATTTTTGTAAAAATGCATTTTCAAGCATTATATAAAAAAGACATGACAATGATGCAACAATCGCCAACAAATATAATTATCAAAGAAAATAACTATGCAGTTAAATAAAATATTATATAAAATGGCGTCGCTAAAAACATGTATGTTTCACACTCAGTAATGTGACAGTTGCTGTATGAGGTAAATGTGTAGTGGTAAAAAAGCGGAGAGAAAAAAAAAACATAATATCCTGTTAACCAACTGAAGATTGCATTTGAAGCTTTTAAAAAATCCTTTCTAGCTTTCCACAGCCGGCGCCTGATAAACTATAGAAAATCCACTGATGACTGCTGCTTTCTCCAGGCAAAATCGGATTTTTGTATCTCACTAATCCCCTGTCACAATCTGCATCCTGCCATCAGGGAAAACGCTAGCTCAGTCCTGCCCACTCACTCAGCTCGGCTCTGCTCTGCTGTGCTCTGGCCTCGCATACTCGACAAGGACACGACGCTACCAAATATCCAGCGACTGACGGACAGATATCTACACACCTTAGCTCCTAGTTAATCACTATTCTTCAAATGGGTGTGATGGAGGGGGGCTGACCATCTGCCCCATGGGAAGTTTGTGATTCTGTGAGCCAAACGGATGCAGGGCCAACCAAGGCACCATCATGTCTCCAGCCCCAGAAGCCCCAGCTAGCCGGTGTCTCCTCGGCCCACCGGGGAGACACCCATGACTCCTAGCCTCTCCCTGCCCCGAGCGAGCGACCAACCAACCGACCGACCGGGGACCGATCCTCCATCCGGACTGTTTGCCGTTGATGCATGGAGCCCGATGAGACTCATAGAGGAATGAACATGTACCTTTGGTGGATTTTACTGCAAGGATTTTGGAGCGTCTATGGGGAACTTCCATTCATTGCAGACAATAACGCAGCCATGTTGGTCAACTGGTGAGTACTAAGGCAACGGTGGTCCCAGAAAGTACTTGAAATACTTAAGAAAATTGAACTTACATGTAAATATGCAAATATAATAAAAATAAAACTGGACTAGGCTGGGTTTGGGGATTGTGTCCAAAGGAGATATTGCATAAAGGCATACTGTTCTAAACCCAACTAAGGAACTCCATTTTGCAGGATAAACTCTATTTCCCTCTTTTACCAAACAGTGTACTATATCATTTTAGGGGAGTACGGTATTTATTTTCAGTGTGGTTTGCTGTAAATTTACTGTGAGGGGGTATAGGATGTCATGTCCCTAAACCGAGCTGTTGCTAATCTCATCTTGATTTAGCCATAGAGGGATTGTACCTAAGATTAGGCACATGCTAATTCAAGACCGGCAACAGAACTGACCCACTGGAGTCCCACAGGGACAGTGAACTGTACAGACTTGGCCCTGGGCCAGACAGACAGCCTACGGCCACCACCTGACCTCCTCAGCTCCCATTTGTCACTGCTGCCAAGCAGAGCGGAGCAAGTGGAGGAAAGGAGAGCCACGGGAACACACTTTTAGCTAGCGGGCCTACTGAAGTCCGGGGTCAGTCAACAAATGGACTATAGCTTACACTTTACAGCGGCCCTGCAGGGAAGCTTATAGGATCCCACTGCTGACTTAACAGGCAGGGGGAGTTGTAGTTCTTAACCATGATCAAGGGAGATTGCCATGGAGGGACTGTCCTGATTCTCCTCTCCTTTCATGGCCAAAGAGTTAAACGGATATGATGATGACTCTGACTGGGCTGGATGGTTTCAGCCATTCTACGCACAATACCAGGGGAAATCCACACTTTTAATAGCCATTCTGCAGACAGCAGCTGAAGTGTATTACAGTTCCGCTTTACATAAGGGAATTAAGCCATTCAGTCCCACGTGTCCCAACCCGGGAGCCTGGGATGTCCAATCCCTGCGGGCGATGTGATGTCATCCTCTTATGCAAAGCCTGATGGGTCCATTCGATATTAACCCTCGACTCCCAGGGAGCTCAGGACATGAATAAGTGTGTTCCTGTTTAGCCTAAGGGACAGCTGGCTACTTCCCTTCCTTTCCTGCTCTTGCTCCTTCTCCAAAATATTCATTTCCCCCCCTCTAGCCTACAGTGAAGTACAGTGGAGTTTGGAGAAGTCAGACTAAAAATGACATTGTAAGGAACAGGATACTTTCCCCAAAATATGAATTTCCCCAACTTAATCCTTAAGAGTCTACTGACGCACCCGTGCGTCAATCTAAGTAACGTAATATCAAAATCCCCAGCGAAATCCGTCAGTTTAAGCTGGAGACATTTGCATGGGCTGCGTCTCAATCCACCACATCCGTCTATGTTAGCCGTATGCACCTGTGGTGGAAGGTGGCCGAGCTACAGCTGTGTTTTTCGGACCATGAGGCATCCCGGTCTTCGGTCTTCTCACCAAAACATCTGTAGCGTCCGAACGGTTTGGCCTACCAACTAATATGACCACTCTATGGAAAGATGAGACTCTCTGTTTTGCTCTACTACCGCCACAAGTGTCAAGGGACTCGTCTGAAGGTAACCCATACAAATGAATGGAAATATGGAGGTCGTTTTGTGGCAACAAAAATAAGGCTTTAAATATGTGTCCAAAAAAACACAAATATTTCCTGAGCTTATGTCTCCTAAATACAGGACAGACACTTCAAAACCTTTTTTTTGGACTGTCTTTTTTGCCATTTATGAATGTGTTATTCAATGTGTTTCTATAGGCTATAGCAGTTAAGGCCAAATTCAATATTTTATCAAATATTTTTGATAGATATTTTTTGATACCTAAAGGTATCAGGCTCAGGCTACATTCCATTCCATTCCAACATCCATATGTGCATACCAATCAGAATGCATGCACCTAACACATTGCTTCATTCTAGGGTAGTATGCTACTGTGGATATTGGAAGAGAGCCGGGACAGGTTTGTGAGTATACACCTCACCTCGACTGGTGTAGATGTCCTCAGAGCCTGCGGTCTGGCCAATCAGGTGGTACTGGTTGAGACGGGATCCGTCTTCTGCCACCACTACAGACTTGGCAGCACCAGTTTGCCAGAGGTACACCACCTCAGAGACTGGATAGGCATCTGAAAGAGAGAAACAGGACACTTTGAGGATGCTAATGAGATATTATACAGGCCAGGGCACATATCAGGAACTAGTAGGTCTCAGACCAAAATCATAGTTGAAGCTCAGATGTTGAGTGAAGCGATCGTAGGACGAAGCTATTACTAGGACTAAACGTGCTTCTGGCAACACAATCGGAGGCCGTTGTTGTGTACGCATGAAATGCATGCTGGGAAAGGAACAGAACAGTTTGTTACGTATCTCCAGGACACCAGGTTCCTCATATTTTACTCTACTAGTGGTTTGGTGTTCTAGTTGATTTATTTAGCAAATGCAAAGGCCCAGAGACAAAAAGTTGCTTCTGATCCTGCTGTGTTGAGTACAGCTAGGCACCCATTGAGTTTGTGGATTCGTCAGTTATGTGGTGAATGGTTTTCTCTCTAACAACAGAGTTTAAGAGACAACACAGCTATACCCAATCTCTTTTCCTTTACCATAGTAGGAGAATCCACCGGAAGCTGTACAGTATAGTGTAAGGGACTGCCAGCTTTGCCCCTTTGGAGGCATCAGGCTTAGATTGAGCTGTGGTTGAGCACATGTTTCCAACGCAACACAGCTTGTTAATCACACAGCCACAGTGGCTGATTGGAGCTGACAGTGTCGGCTAACGCTGACCCCGAGGTCTGGTCCAAATGACGCCTCTGCCAGAGCAGAGAGGGTCATCAGGCATCGCGACATATAGAAAGACACGGACGCATTCGCAGACAGACGGACAGACAGATGGGCAGGCAGACAGGCAGGCAGACACACACACACACACACACACACACACACCAACACCCGCTTCAGATTGTAGCCTACTAGTTTTTCGCTCAAATCTGTGATCTGTAATCAAATTATTTCACAATTAATCTAAAAGCGAATGATTTCTCTTGTCAGCTCTCTGTGTCGATTTTCCACCCTTAGGACCTCATCCCTCTTACCTAGAGGATTACAGGAGGGTCCAGTGTGGAGCTCCCTCTAAAGCTGGGGCTAAGCTCTAAAGACTCATTACATCCACAAGGAGTTGCATTGGCTCCTCTCCTGAAACACTGACTCAAGATAGAATACAAAGGCTTGTCAACCGTTAGGATCTCTTAATAGGCTGGATCACTAGAAGAGTCTGGATGGATCAGTAATACAAAGTTCAGGTCAGGTCAGCTATAGTTTACTGTAGCCAGGTAGGGCATGTCAAATATGAACTATGAACCAAAATATGAAGATTAATTTTGGAGATCTGTTACAATCAGAAACACACTTTTTACACTACTCATGACAGACAGTTATCATTTGAAGTACAAACATACCTATTTTTCCTTTTATATTAATTAACAAAAGTATTGTTACTATCGAATTTCCAATAATCTACCCAGAAATATAATATGCACATACTACACTGAACAAAAATATATATGCAACATGTAAAGTGTAGGTCCCATGTTTCATGTGGTGAAATGAAAGATTCCAGAATTTTTCCAAACACACAAAAACCTTATTTCTCTCAAATTTTGTGCACACATTTCTTTACATCCCTGTTAGTGAGCATTTCTCATTTGCCAAGATAATCCATCCACCTGACAGGTGTGGCATATCAAGAAGCTGATTAAACAGCATGATCATTACACAGGTGCACCTTCCGCTGGGGACAATAAATGGCCACTCTAAAATTAGCCATTTTGTCACACAACACAATGCCACAGATGTCTCAAGTTTTGAGGGAGCATGCAATTGGCATGCTGACTGCAGGAATGTTAACCAGAGCTTTTGCCAGTTAATTTACTGTTAATTTCTCTACCATAAACCGCCTCCAATGTCATATTAGAGAATTCGGCAGTACGTCCAATCGGCCTCAGAACCGCAGACCAAGTGTATGGCGTCGTGTGGGCGGGCAAATTGCTGATGTCAACGTTGTGAACAGAGTACCCCATGGTGGCGATGGGGTTATAGTATGGGCAGGCATTAGCTATGGACAATGAACACAATTGCATTTTATCGATGGCAATTTGAATGCACAGAGATACCGTGAAGAGATCCTGAGGCCCATTGTCATGCCATTAATCTGCCGCCATCACCTCATGTTTCAGCATGGTAATGTACAGATTAGGGCCTAATGAATTTATTGCGTTTGACTGATTTCCTTATATGAACTGTAACTCAGTATATTTCTGTTCAGTATACATTCAGTACAGTGATCTTACTCCACCTTGCATCATATGTAAAGTAAAAGGGTGCACCTTTAGGGTAGTCAGTAACTTACTCTCGGGATTCAGGAAAGCACTGGCTAGGACAGTACCTGCAGTCCAACAAAGAGAACTCAATCAAGTGCAGATGAAGGATTTACGCTTTATCAGAGGTGTTAACCTCATTTAAACTGACACAACTCGCAAGCTGTTCCTCTCCTGAACACTGTCACTGCTGGAACACTGTTGGATATTGATGTGAAACCACACCTGTCCTAAAAATACAGTGCCAACATTCTGAGTGAAACCATAGAAACAGCACCTTTCCTATCTGCTATCAATTTGAGGCCTAGGTCTCTTTAAGTATGCAGGGAGATGCATAGGGAAGTGGATAGAGAGGAATAGAGGACCAGTCAGAACCATGGGGAATGAGTGGAGGTACAGATATAGGATCTTCATTTGAGCCAGTTTGCTACAGCAGGAACATAATCCTACAGCAACAGGACATTTGAATTGTTATTTAGATTATAATTAATGGACATTTTTGTAGGGGTTGACACTATTTTTCGTAAGGTAAAATCAAGTCTGAAATTTCAAAGTGGAAATTACAAACTTCAGAAGCCTTTTAAAACCTCAAATAGACTACGTTTGACATTTTCTGCATTGCAGGAAAGTTCTCCTGCAACAGGGTGATCAAATTAATATCCTACATCTGTATAGAGTCCTCAGCTGTATATAAAATAAAAAAACACAAAGGCCTAGACAAGCAGGGAAGAAAGGGATGAACCACAGGAGCCTGGAAGAAAGAAAGGGAACACTGAGAGAGAGAGAAAGAAAATGTGAGGGTGATTCATGTTCTTCAAGGCTATACACTGTACAAGTCTACTTCATTTCTACCTCATTTCCATGTTCCATGTATTTTTATTTATTATCTTTCATTTTTTAAATAATTATGGATGAAAAGAATAACTGTAGTTTAATCCCCCGGATGACAAAGTGTCTTTCTGGATTAAAGAAAATAATCAAAATGAGGTACACTGTGAATGTTTCCAGGGACTAAACAAGCGTTTCTCTCCCTAGTTGAAGGAGGAAAATGAAAGGCATTTGTCATGTAAGGACTGTGTGTGTGTGTGTGTGTGTGTGTGTGTGTGTGTGTGTGTGTGTGTGTGTGTGCGCGCGCGTGTGTGTGTGCGTGTGTGTGTGTGTTGGGTGGGAAGAACAAAGAAAAAGAAAGTGATGGATCAATGTAAAGTGCAGTAACTAAGCAACCAAGCTCAATAGCACATCATAGCACTTTGCTGTAGTACTGGTACTACTGGCCATGCCTAGTGGATGGCTGTTTACAGTCAGACTTCTTGGATGGCTTTAGCCAAAAGCCGGGGCCAAAATGTAAAGTTGGGTGGGTTTAGAAGCATGAAGGATTATGACGCGGGGGGATACCATGATTTAGTAGTAGAGCTAAAGGATTTGGTAGGCGGGGCCTGTCACTATGCCAACTTTGCACCAGTGTGCAACGCTTTACGCCAACCTCTTCCTGACTTTGAGATTGCACGGTACACACCCATCTATTACATAACATGAACATTAGGAGTTGCTGTAGATGAATGAGTGAATGGATGAATGGATGAATGAATAAACAAATGAATAAAATAATGAATGATGAACAAATGAACAAATGAAATAAAGGATGGATAGATTTGATACCATCTTTGTTTGCATACTGTCCACGCACCCATACATCTTAATCTGAAAACTTTAGCCATCTACTGTACCTGTGAGGAGAGTGTGCTAGTACCTAATAGTAACAGGATGGTTTTACAGCAGCTAAAACCATCCTGTGATTTTACTTGACCATGGGAATAGAAAAGAGCTACATCGTGTATAGAGCAATGTACTGATTGAGCCTTGCCTGAAGTGTGCAACCCATTTAAATCAGCCTCGTATTTCAAGAGGCTGTGTGTGTAGGTCCCAAATGGCACCCTATTCCCTATATAGTGCACTACTTTTGACCTGGGCCCATAGGGTTCTGGTCAAAAGTAGTGCACAAAATAGGGAATAGGGTGCCATTGGGGACGCATGCAGTCCTCTATACTCTCCATCTCTCCACCTCTCCACTCCATGCAGATAACCTTGGGTTAGTAATGCATGGATAACAATAGAGAATCCAGCTCCTAAAAGCACTTCAGTTCGCCACAGCTTCGATTGGTTGAAGACTGAGAGAGACTTGAATGTCATCATTCCACAGACTTCAAATACTTTTATTTATTCTTTATTTTTTTATTAGTCATTTAGCAGACGCTCTTAATAATAATAATAATAATAATAATATGCCATTTAGCAGACGCTTTTATCCAAAGCGACTTACAGTCATGTGTGCATACATTTTTAGGTATGGGTGGTCCCGGGGATCGAACCCACTACCCTGGCGTTACAAGCACCATGCTCTACCAATTGAGCTACAGAGTGCATACATTGTTTTGGGGTTTTTTCATACTGGCCCCCCGTTATTTCTGTATCATGATATAGTTTTTACATCAATTTAACCATTTTATGAATTTAGATGTGGTATGGTGTCAAAGGGGCAAATTATTGATCTGTAATGTTTTTTTGCTGGTGATTTCAATATTTTACTGTTCCTAGTTACGAGTCAATCTTAAAAAGAGTGTCTGCTAAAATGACATATACAGGTATATCTTTTTAAAAAAAATCTATGGTGTATCAATACAATATACAGTAGTAAGTCAAACAAAGCATAAGCAGGAGATCCCATGTCTCAAATATGACGTTGCATTAACCCCTGAATGACGTCTTAGCAGCAGCAGCCTGGTCAGGACAGACATTTCCCATGCGACTCCACAGACCTATACAAATGTAGGATCTTAATTTGTGCCAGTTTGCTACAGCAGGACATTTTTGGAGGGCTTGATACATTTTTCATTAGGGCAAATCAAGTCTGACATTTCTAAGTGGAAATGACAAGCTTCAGAAGCCTTTTTAACTCTCAAATACACTACAAGTTTGAAATGTCCTGCAACAGTTCTCCTGCAACAGGGTGCTCAAATTACAATCCTCCCCACACACACTACCACATCCATCCTGCTTATCATGAACATTATTTGATAAGACTTCGTTTTTATGTGCCGCTTGAAAAAAGGTAAACTGTGGGCCAAGAGAGTTAAGGCAAGATACACATTCCATCATCCTTCATATCCCCTGTGAGCTGGGCTGCAAAGGAAAGCAGTTTTATCTGGTGGTGAAGTGGGATGTGTGGGAGATGGAATGAGAAATAGAGCCTGTGGTCACAGTGCTCAGACAACTGGTTATACTGTAGTAACTGTATCGGTATGCTCTGCATGTAAATGACTCAAATGCAAATATTTTTTGAGTGTCTGACCTTTTTCGTTAGGGCAAATCGAGTCTGAAATTTCAAAGTGGAAATTCTAAACTTTAGAAGCCTTTTTAAAACTAAAATACACTACAAGTTTGCGTTTACTGCTTAGCAGGAAAATTATCAGCAACAAAAGAGTGATCAAATGAAGATCCTACAACTGTAGGGGCAGTCGAATCAGCTAGGTAATCTGGCTATATACGTCCTATGGTGTGACAAAGGGTTTACTATAGTGTGACACGGCGTGACCCTGCTCAGGGCATTCCTTATTAGCTTCCCTGGGACTATCCATCTGTGGTGTCCCCGTCTAAAAGGTCAAAGTACAGCTGAGCTATTTCAGGCCAGCACTTAAACCAGACAGGCAACACCCACACCAACCCCCCTTGCCCCAACCCACAACACTTCAGGAGAATCTTAACATAACAGGATGAGATGCTTAGCCGCAGATGCTGGTGTGACTGCTGGATACCACAGTACAAGCGTTTTCCAGTTCTGGAAATCCTCTGGGTTTAGGAACTTAGGGTTCTCAACTTGAGAGGGGGTTGAGGGGTCTCAACTAACTGTTGAGAATTAGAATAGTAGCTGTTGGCTGGGCTCGCTGCCTGTGCCATTAAACCCCTACAACTTATCCAGAATGCTGCAGCCCGTCTGGTGTTCAACCTTCCCAAGTTCTCTCACGTCACCCCGCTCCTCCGCACACTCCACTGGCTTCCAGTTGAGGCTCGCATCTACTACAAGACCATGGTGCTTGCCTACGGAGCTGTGAGGGGAATGGCACCTCCTTACCTTCAGGCTCTGATCAGACCCTACACCCAAACGAGGGCACTACGTTCATCCACCTCTGGCCTGCTAGCCCCCCTACCTCTATGGAAGCACAGTTCCCGCTCAGCCCAGTCAAAGCTATTCTCTGCTCTGGCACCCCAATGGTGGAACAAGCTCCCCCATGATGCCAGGACAGCGGAGTCACTGACCACCTTCCAGAGACACTTGAAACCCTACCTCTTTAAGGAATACCTGGAATAGTATAAAGTAATCCTTCTACCCCCCCCCTCCCCCACCCCCCATTAAAAAGAAAAGGGAAAAAAAGTGGTTGTCCACTGGCTATCATAAGTTGAATGCCCCAATTTGTAAGTCGCTCTGGATAAGAGCGTCTGCTAAATGACGTAAATGTAAATGTAGAATACACCGGGTGCAATTTCGAAACTTGGTTGTGCATAAGCAGTTTTTTTCTTGTTGTGCCAGTCACTGACAGTCACTCAATTAGTAAAAAAAAAAAAATGTAATTGGTAAATAGGTCTAGCCAGCTAGTTAAACTTGTAGTAGTGGCGGCAGGTAGCCTAGCGGTTAAGAGTGTTGGGCCAGTAACCGGACGGTTGCGGTTTGAATCCCTGAGCCGACTTGGAGAAAAATCTGTCGATGTGCCCTTGAGCAAGGCACTTAACCATAATTGCTGCTATAAGTCACTCTGGATAAGAGCGTCTGCAAAATGTAAATGTTGTAATCATGGCTGAATTACCGACCAGGCACGAAGGGCCATTGATTTTGTTAGTCAGTCTCACTCAAATATCATATTAACATTGCATAAGTCATTGCAAAATGTGTCAAATGTCCATGGCAAAATGAGTAGAATTGCATAGAATTAGTTATACAATTGCTAAATGTTCTCTCTGCCCCATGGCAAAATGTGTAGAATTGCAGAAAACGTGCTTTAAAATTGCAAAAAATTATCTATGCCCCATGGCAAAATGTGTAGAATTGCAGGAAATGTACTTTAACTCTTTAACTTTTTCTCTCCGCCGTCAAGGGGGGGGGGGGCACTAAAATGTTTTTGCCAGCGAGGTATGGGGGCCCCCAACCAAATCTCGCTGAGGGCCCCAAAAGGCTAGGGCCGGCCCTGCCTGACCATAGTCTGCTTTTAGGTCTAATTGGTAAATGATAATACAACCTTGGGAGCCCTGGCGAGGTGGTGCAGTAGGATAGGTGCTGAGGCCACAGGCCGCGGGCCAGGTTACCAAAGGTAATTAAGGGCCAGGTTACCAAAGCTAATTACGGACAAGCAATTTGATTAAAGGATTGATAAACCTTTTGACCCTCCACCTAGTTTAACTGAACCAGGTTTAGCTCCTCCGGTTTCGTGATTCAGGTCATTCCTTATTGCGATTGTGGCTGGATTCTGTGTTCTTTCCTTGTTCCATATGTACATTTTAGTCATTTAGCAGACGCTCTTATCCAGAGCGACTTACAGTTAGTGAGTGCATTCATTATATTTTTCATACTGGCCCCACGTGGGAATTGAACCCACAACCCTGGCGTTGCAAACGCCATGCTCTACCAACTGAGCTACATCCCTGCCGGCCATTCCCTCCCCTACCCTGGACGACGCTGGGCCAATTGTGCACCGCCCCATGGGTCTCCCGGTCACGGCCGGCTACAACAGAGGCTGGATTCGAACCAGGATCTCTAGTGGCACAGCTAACACTGCGATGCAGTGCCTTAGACCACTGCGCCACTCAGGAGACTAGCTAGATGTACCATCCTACAGAATACTGAGCAAGCTCAATTGTCTCTTTAGAGCAATTGATTTGGTAGTTTACTGAGTTGGAGGTTTGAACGAGGTATAAATCGTGCTGTCATTGACTCATACTCAGATCATAAGAAGTCTGGGCCTAGTAATGTTTATATGTATGGGATCTGTGCTGTTGTATTATTAGTGTGGCAAAGTGTAATACACTAAATATCAACACATGGAATTTTACTCACAGCTTCCAAACTTCAAAGGGCAAGCATGAGCATCCATTGGGAAGTCCTCCAACTGCATGGGACACTCCGCTGATATGGTTAACCTAGAGAAAGGTACAAAAGATCAAGACAATAAACACAAATCCCCTACAGATATACTACATATAATAATCCTGTTTATTTCAAATCCAGTGCCGCCGTCATCATCAACATCATCATCTCCTGTGCTTAGGGTTAGTTGCATAGATCTCACAATGCCTGTACGATTACATCACAGGCAGATTTGTCCTTGTAGTCCTCATCATTTCTTGACAGAATCACCAAGAATTCATCCTGAGCCAAGCACATGGCATTACATAGATTATACTGCCATCTTGTGGTGATTGTATTATTTGTGATTTCCCAGCTGTGGTTCACGTCAAATCCCCCATGTGTGTCAAGATCGTATTCACAGAGAACATCTCCACAAAGTAACCACATATACTGATACAAGTAAAAACAATGATATAACAATGAAATGAGGCCACCTCTAGTGCTTGAGGACAATATGGACTCAGGTTGTGTTCACATCACTGCATCATTATTCAATGTTATTACTTTGCTTATATTGTGTCAAAAACAGCTGACGTGTTTTAAAGATCTTATCGGATCATATGAAGACCAACTCTAATTCTCATTGGTCTGTATTGTGAACAGGGAAGGCTGCCATCATGTGGTTACTAGAGAAACTGCGGGAATGGAAATAGAACGACCTGATTAGCTGTCTAACAATGGAAGTGTACTGGTATACAGGTATGATTAGCTATATCCTAATGTAGGTCCATGCATAGAGAGCTGCCTTTCTCCTTTACAAAATTAGGGCTACATATTCCCCCTCAAGTTACATGTAACAGGTGTCATCTATTCTAAATCATCCCCTTTAGTCCATTTCTTGCATTCACAATACTGCATTTGTCATATTGCACCTGCATTTGTTGCGTGATTAACATTATAACATTTACGTGTAATGTGTTGATGTCACCAGTGCACCTCAAAGGAATGAACATGTCAAAAAGACTGCAATAGTTTCTTAATATGCATATGTCATGCATCAGAGCATTACATTACTAGAGGTACAGTTTGCTATGGAAATAAGAATACTATTTGATTTTCTCCTGCTTCAACCTATTCTGCAACATCATATAATGGGGTGCAGCCTGTTCTTGTTAAACTCATACAGTATGATGGAAATGGAGCAGAACACTGTATGAATTATTTGTGGCGACAAATGTATGACTTGCTCTGAAAACGCTGTTGCTCTCGGGCTAATGTTTCAGAATCGGGGGGTGAGAATGCAATCACATTTAGTCATTATCTCCACTGGAGAGAAGGAGCTTTCCCCTGATGTCGGTGGATTCTGAAAGGCTGGGCCATGCAATAAATCTAGGTAGCGCGCTAATCTCTTTCCTGGTAATGGAAATACATTAGGAGACAGTAGTAGAACTGGACCGACCGATTAAAAGCAGAAACGTCCTGATGTTTCATTTCCAGAGTCGTTGTGAAATCTATTACCTTTTAAAATGATGGGCCTGATATCTGCTTCTTCTTCTTTCACTCATCAGACTTTGATTACAGTGACGCCGATGCCTGATCGCGCCGAATAGGGCCAGGTCACGTGGCTATAAGGGGTTAATATGGTTAATCTATTTCTCTTGCATCTATTATTTGGCATTAGGATGATCTTAGTGGGTGGTATTGATCTGGGATAAATTATACCTCCTGAGATGATACCAGGAAGTCCTGATCTATTCGTATGATTGCTATTGGTTGTCATCACTTCCTGTTCCTGTCTATTATGAATTCAAGGGGGAATATTTAATCTAACGTGCCACATATTGGTCAGTGTTCCATAACATACAAAGTACAGCATCACAAAGAACAAAATAACAGAAAATCGTGCAGAGGCTTTTGTTACCTCCTACACACACAACAATAACCAAACCAGTTCAGGGCCATTTGTGAATCGTGGCTGGCTGTATTTCAGTGAGCATAATGTTCGTTTCTCAGACACAAAGCTCAGATATTATCCTCTATAAGTCTAAGCCTTTGGGTGGGGTGGGGGTGGTGGAGGTTCATCTAAGCTAACATATGGAATTGTTTTAAGATGGTCATACCATGGATCATTTAGCTATTTGATTTGGAATTGTAGGACCCCTGTAGGTATTCCCAAGTAATATATAGAAAATATTTGATAAGATATTTAATTTGGCCTTCACTACTATAGCCCATAGAAACGCAATGAATAACACATTCATAAATGGTCAAACAGACAGTCAAAATAAAAGGGGAATACGATGTTGAGTGTCTTTCCTATATCTAAGAAATATTTTTGTTTTTTGGATACATATTTAACCCCCCTTTTTTTTGTTGGCACAAAACTACCTCAATACTTCCATTCATTTGTTTTTTACCAGCTACCTTTAGACGAGTGACCTTTAGACAAGATTTTTTACATCCAAAACGGAGAACATCACCGTGTTCGTGAGAATCTCTCCTTTCCATAGTGGGGTCATATTAGTTTGTAACCCAAACAGTTCTGACGCTACAGACGTTTTAGTGAGACGACCGATTTTCGGGATGTCCCATGGTCTGACAAACACTGCTGTAGCTTGCCACCTTCCACTGCAGATGCGGAATGCTGATATAGGAGGATGTGGTAGATTGAGATGCAGCCCATTCAAAAAAACAGATATCTCTAGCATAAACTGACAGATTTTGATAGAGATATTTTCATTATGTTACTTAGCTTGATGCACGGGTGCGTCAATAGACTCTTAAGGATTATGGTTCAGGGCCAGAGTTTTTCCTTTAAGGATTATGGTTCAGGGCCAGAGTTTATCCTGGTTACACCACATGGTCAGAGCCCAAATTCTAGGATGTATTCAGGTGAAACATTCAGAACGTTGCAGATAGAAATGTGATGAATGATTCCTGATTTAGAATGGCAGACAATCCTATCTCTGTTCTACACAATACCTTTCTATCAGATAGAAATGTGATGAATAGACCTGACACTATTCCCCGTACTACATTACAGATACTCCTATATGTTCTATGTGATACATTTCTATCTGAAATAGTTGTGTAACATTGCACCATACTGAACAGGGCCGTGGTTGGTACCTCATTGTGTAGAGCAGCGTCCCGTCATCTTTCAGTCTCAGTAGCTTGTTGGGTGTGGTCATGTTGTGGGCGATAGACTTTTTCCCGTTGAGGAAGAAGGTGTCTGGGGTCCAGATGTTACTGGCCAGGAGGTTGTTCAGAGGCAGCATCTCCATGGGTCCTTTGAAACAAAGGCGCTCATCTTTCCAGCTTTGTCGGAAAAACACGTCGATGGTATATTCCTAAGGAAAACATGGTATTGATACATGGTGATAACACTCAGAGTCAAAACCCATGGGGCCAATTACGTGGACACATACAGATCTGCTATTTTAATGTCATCACTCTGTTGACTCAGAGAATGTTCCTGTGCAGGAGGAAATGCAATGTCTAGTGTACCTGAGGTTAAAAAGGTTTCAAAGTATTTTTATTTGTTATTTTATTTTTCTTGATTATTTTCCCCTAACCCTACCACACCTCCCCTAATTGGAGTAAACTAATGAACAACAACACTTAGGCTTCTACTTCCAGCTTATACATGCCTTTGGAAAGTGTTCAGACCCCTTGACTTTTTCCACATTTTGTTACATTACAGCCTTATTCTAAAATGGATTAAATAAATAGGAATCCATTGCAATCTACACACAATACCCCATAATGACGAAGCATAAACAGGTTTTTAGAAATTTTAGCTAAATACAAATAAATAATATCTTATTTACGTAAGTATTCAGACCCTTTGCTATGAGACTCAAAATTGAGCTCAGGTGTATCCTGTTTCCATTGATCATCCTTGAGATGTTTCTACAACTTTATTGGATTCCACCTGTGGTAAATTCAATTAATTGGACTTGATTTGGAAAGGCACACAACTGTCTATATAATGTCCCACAGTTGACAATGCATGGCAGAGCAAAAACCAAGCCATGAGGTCGAAGGAATTGTCTGTAGAGCTCTGAGACAGGATTCTGTCGCGGCACAGATCTGGGGAAGGGTACCAAAAAATGTCTGCAGCATTGAAGGTCCCCAAGAACACAGTGGCCTCCATCATTCTTAAATGGAAGATGTTTGGAACCACCAATACTCTTCCTAGAGCTGGCCGCCCAGCCAAACTGAGCAATCAGGGGAGAAGGGCCTTGGTCAGAGAGGTGACCAGCAATCAGGGGAGAAGGGCCTTGGTCAGGGAGGTGACCAAGAACCCGATGGTCACTCTGACAGAGCTCTATAATTCCTCTGTGGAGATACGAGAACCTTCCAGAAGGACAACCATATCTGCAGCACTCCACCAATCAAGCCTTTACGGTAGAGTGAAGCCACTCCTCAGTAAAAGGCACATGACAGCCCACTTGGAGTTTGCCAAAAGGCACCTAAAGACTCTCAAACCATGAGAAACAAGATTATCTGGTCTGATAAAACCAAGATTGAACTCTTTGGCGTGAATGCCAAGCGTCACGTCTGGAGGAAACCTGGCACCATCCCTACGTGAAGCATGGTGGTGGCAGCATCATGCCGTGGGGATATTTTTCAGTGGCAGGGACTGGGTGATTAGTCAGGATCGAGGCAAAGATGAACGGAGAAAAGTACAGAGAGATCCTTGATGAAAACCTGCTCCAGAGCGCTCAGAACCTCAGACTGGGGCGAAGGTTCACCTTCCAACAGTACAACGACCCTAAGCACACAGCCAAGACAACACAGGAGTGGCTTCGGGACAAGTCTCTGAATGTCCTTGAGTGGCTCAGCCAGAGCCCGGACTTGAACCCGATTGAACATCTCTGGAGAGACCTGAAAATAGCTGTGCAGCAACACTCGCCATCCAACCTGACAGAGTTTGAGAGGATCTGCAGAGAAGAATGGGAGAAACTCCCAAATACAGGTGTGCCAAGTTTGTAGCGTCATACCCAAGAAGACTCAAGGCTGTAATCACTGCCAAAGGTGCTTCAACAAAGTACTGAGTAAAGTGTCTGAATACTTATGTAAATGTAATATTTCCCAAAAAAAATTTTTTTTAAATTAGCAAAACATTCTGAAAACCTGTTTTTGCTTTGTCATTATGGGGTATTGTGTGTAGATTGATGAGGGAAAAAAAAACAATTTAATCAATTTTAGAATAAGACTGTAACCTGACAAAATGTGGAAAAAGTCAAGGGGTCTGAATACCTTCCGAAGGCACTGTACATTTTACGGACACAATCTATTTTATAATAGTTCTCTTTTGTTTGTTTTTACTCCTATCCTTCCTCTTCCCTCAACCCCTCCCATCTATTTCTGAAGACCATCCATATTGGATTTCTATTTGCCATGCATTTTTGTGCTGTGATGTTCCACAAAAGTTCTGAACCTTTCTATTCTCATAGTTTCTACAGATTGGGTGATTTGAAAAGTCATAGTCAATCGATCAATAATATAATAATACTTTTAGCAAAAAAATGTATCTTTAATTTACAATCTGTAGAAACTGTGAGAATAAAAAGGTTTTAAAGTTTGTAATTTCCACTTTAAAATGTCAGACTTGATTTGCCCTAATGCAAAATGTATCAATGCCTACAAAAATGTCCATTAATTATAATCCACATAATAATTCAAATTTCCTGTTGCTGCAGGATTATTTTCCTGCTGTGAGAAACTGGTCAAATTAAGATGTCAAACTGTAAACCTAGTCCTGGACTAAAAAATAATGTTTCAGTCCAGGACTAGGTTTAATCTGGATCTTGGAAACTGGCCCATGATGCATTTCTTTATAAAATATTGATTAATGATTTAACAAAAAACGATGAATACATGTCATTATATGCATCTAGGATAATTGTCTTGTGTTCGTAACATTTACAGGAGGGTGTGATGTTGCTCCTATCGCAAGATATTACGTTAATGGACGTCATTGAAACAATGCATAATGAAATGGGCTGTAAATTGACTCACCATTTCAGTATCTGAAACTGGGCCAAAGCTTGTGACAAATATATTGGTTTTGATCTCCGTGACCTTTTCTGTGGATAGAATGGGATTTGGAATATGACCGTGAACATGAAGAGACAGGGTACAGGAACAAATTCAATTTATGAATAATCATCATAGAGATATCCGTTAGAATTCTTTACTGCCTTCAATGACAGAAACCATTCTAAGGAAGTGAGTGCAGCTCTATTCTCCAACCACATTTGGCAAATCCATGTTGGATGTATCCATGTGTTACATTAGCGACATTATAAAATAAGATTTAGAAGGGTAAAAAATGGATAAAACATCATTGTAAGACCAAATCGGTGGTAGAACATTTTATTTTCTCTAAGAGATGCAGGATATTTCTATCTTTGACTCCCTCTCTCTCTCGTCTGAATAGAGGTCTGGATCTCAAGGTTACTTTTTGCAGATGGAGGTGGTGGTCGTGAGGAGGGATGTGTGATATATGGCGTGTTGGCAGTGCAGTTCCTTCTCACTTAGGATTGATCTATTACTGTGATTGCTTTGCTCTTGGAATATATTCCAGTCAATGCAATGCTGTATATTAGAACAGTCTCTTTATTTTTCTCACTGAATCCAAGAAGTCTAGCGAGTGTGATTTTACAGAGGGGGAAAATGCTATGCTGGATCACAAATTATGTATGAGGCTAAGCATTGGCATACCGCAGATTCGCGAGGCCCCCCCCCCCCCCCACAAGGTCCGAGCAAGTTTAATAGCTAATCTCATGCTATTCTACACATTTTGCCATGAGACTGAGAGGAAATGTTGCAGTTTTAAAGCTAATTTACTAAACATTTTGCCATGGCTTATGACATGTTCATATGCTATCTGGGGGGGGGGGGGGGTGTTCCCAAAGCATATAGTTGGTCCCACATGGGGTCACACAGCGCATCTCGGAATGGAGCGCAGTTCACTATGCATTTATCATCTCATCAGCTGGTAATTTGTGTCTTGTGACAGGTCAATTTGTTGCAGCATAACCTGCATAGCCTTTAGGCTACAGTAATAGCATTGCTTTAAATCAGTGTGCATGCATGCACACTCTCTCAGTCTTTCTATTTCTCCATCAATGCCATTCAAATTGCAAAAAAAAACTAAAATACATTCAGTATGAATTCAAACAAAGACAAACTGTATGTTCAAACAGAAACATCCACATTTCACACTGTATTTAGTTATATGAATTAATCTACTGCATCAACATGCTACAATGGTTCTGCTGCACCTGGCTTGAGTGCACTCTAGAGAAATCTAATGTCAAATAAGGGATTTTCCAGAACACAAAAGTATTAATGAATGACATTTGCCCCAAGAAAATGAATAGTTACGCATTGTATTGTATTGTATTGTATTGTACTGTAACCTCTAGTGATATGAGTTTGGATCAGAGTGGTCTGTATGTCGGTATACATTACCTCCAAGTCCTGGTCTGAGTCTGTTGTCGTAGCCGTCCAGGAGTCCGTCCAGTATCCGTGTGAAGATGGTGATGTTGTCATTAGCCTCTGCCTCTTTCAATGCCTCTGCTGTGGTCTGGCCAAGACTGAGAAAGACAGAACATCAATCAGGCTGGTTAGGACTGCTTGACAAGGCTAGTGTTGATGTAAATAAACCACATCATAGTTGGATATGTACAGTATATCTACTGTTCAAATTAGGATTCATGCAGTGAATAGTCAGATTGGATTGTAAACGTTTCACTTACCCCACTTGCCAAGTTATGCACACCAGCAAGACAGAGATCCACACATGTTTCATTGTAGAAAAGCGGTGCATTTTGTCCTCTATGTCTGGAATAACAACATATAATCCACGAACAGTACTTTCAGTAGTATGTATTGTCATCATACTTCCACTCCTACTTCTCCTTCTCCTCCTCCTCCTACACTATACTCCTATCAGACTAGTATTACTAGAGTACAACTAATACTATAGCCACTAATGATAAGTACTTTGGTGTTGTACTGTATCCCACCCTCCCCCAATACACACACCTGACCACACATAGTTTCAACTAGCAGTCCTATAATGGACCTACAAGAGTAAGCAGTAGGCTAACCTTGATACAATAACAGTTTGAAACTGTGAATATACCAATCATCTCTTTCTACATTCCTGGCCCATGTCCTTGTGTGCATTCATTTTGCCCAATGCTAAACACTTTGTTGCAGCAGTATTATAACATCTCTCCTTTATGCTGCAACTGTTCGTGTTCGCAGTAGCATTGTATTGGTGATCCTCACTGCGTATGCATTCGCAAGCAGTGCAATAGGTTTTCAATGTAGGCTAATGATGTACCCTCGCAGATCCCCCCCCCCCCCCCCCCCAACCCACACCCTACTCATACCCCCCTAAAAAAAACGAGGGAGGGAGGGTGGGGGTGCTTCTGATGCCATCCTCATGCATAAAAGAGGGTTGAAAATCAATTACCTGTAGGGAGAGCCATCATCTTGATTTAAATCCAGGTTAGAAAAGGGATAGAAAACACGCAGCAATGAAAGTCAGGGTATGTTGCTGCTCCTTCAGAGGGATATAGATGTACTCCGTTTAGATTTGCCACCGCAGGCAGTCTCGATCGTGTATTGTTCTCTCCTGATTTACTTGACTGACTTCCTACTCATATCAAGCCGATGTTTGCGTCTTGCCCTACCACCTCCTTCGCGCCTTTTGGCAGATGAGAGGTTTTAATGCCGAGCCCTCATCTTTGGTTGTGACAACAACGTTTTTCGTGTTACATACCCTTGGTCTCAATTAATTTGTCCATTCAGAGCGGACTAGCGGCCAGGCGCCCCATCTAAATCAGAAAACACACTCACCTCCAGTTGCCGCTCACATGCACACACCGCAACGATTTGCTAACCCGTGCCTTATCATAGGTGCGACAGTGAAAACGATCCTCCAGGAACTCCAAGCGTCACTTAACTTTCCCCTGTTATCTTACTTGCCACTGTAGGCTACTCTAGCCTATGCATATTGCTGTGGTTAGTTAAAACGCCATCCTCTCTCGCAAGCTAATTAGCTGTCTAGTCGAAATCAATTTAATGAATGAGGGGCAGTGGGTTGATCCATCCAGATAAAATGAAGGCTACATCCCAAGGACCCAATAAAACAGTATACCTATTCGCCTACATGTTCACGTCTGGTCCTCTCTGCTTACCTAGCCTTTCCTCTCATACAGTGGGAAATGCGTCAGCTTTGTTGAGAAGAAAATTACCGCTTATTATAGCTCTAATGCACATGCTACTGCTGCCTCCAGAATAATGCCTTTGATTTCGATCCGACCTATTATGCCATGATGACTCACCAGCCTAAGGTCCATCAATGAGAATAATAACTGTAATAACCAGAGGAAATCGAGAATGAACGCACTGAAATAGTTAAAGAAGGATCGCAATAAATCAATGTCTATCAAAAAGTGTGATTACACAATCTTCCTGAAAAAAGCAACCTTTCTTTTTTTTTCTTCTTTTTTTTTTACAGTTAGCCTACATCAAACAAAGTCGATATATCGATTGCCATAAGAGGGTACTCTAACTCCATATTTTTTGACAGAACATTATGCTGACTAATCATATGTCACCCTATTCAATTTCAAAACATTTTTACATTACAATCAATAGTTGACAGTTAAGTTTGACAGATCTATAATACCTGAATTATTTGCACCAAGTAGACACATGTTGCACTGTCTTGTAAATTGCTAGGTATATCTGAGTTATTTCAGTGGTGCTGAGTTTCAGCCCCATGTTTGAACTGTACAGCTCTGTCCCCATAGTGCGTTCTGAACCTACTGTAATTCCATCGGGTGGTGCTGTCCAAGGTGCTGAAACAAACTTGCTCCTGGAAAATACTTATTCCTAAAGTACAATGCTTATCATATAAAGCACTTCCAATGTTTGGGAAAGAGAGTACGCCAAGTGTGTCCTATTATAAGAACACCACATGGTCCAAAAACAATTAACCCACTGCATACCCTCCACTATATCTTCGCCTAAAACTAAATGTACATAATACAGACTTAACACTGTGTTGTATGTTGCCAGGTGTGAGTTATCACCGTATATATAAATCATAATCATTATGTGTGACTGTGCAGGTGTAAATGAAAGTGTTATACTGAGTCATATTTCCTCTTGTTTTTTCCCCAGGAATGCAGTCGATGGAAACAAGAAGTTGTTTGCAATCTATGATACCAGGTAAGTCAATTAGTCAGTTAGAATGACAGTCCCCACGGGCTCGAGAGGTCGATTCTGATTATTGAATAGGGCTTGGAGGAAGGAGAACAAACCCCTGATGACACGTTGCATCAGGTATAGCAATTCAGTCTAGGCCTACATCTATTTGGCCCAATATATGTGAAATCTTATAGTGATTAGAACATATTCAGGTTTATAGTCAATTAGATGAATATCTGGAGTAAGAGGGGTTGGCTCCAATCCAAGCAAGTACCTTTACCGCCTCCACCGGTGGCGTCCTTGACAGTAGCCTATATACATTTCAGTTAGGAGTATAGTTCCTTCATGTCTCCCCGTTGCATAGAGAGAGAGGAGAGAAATCCAAAATACGAGTGATGTCAAACCAAACAGATCTGAATGGTCTCAAAAGCCAACGACTTCCTCCACGAGAACTTGCTAATGGAATACTCTAATTTGTAAACATATTGTACCGTTTTTGCGTTGCACGTTTTTCACCAAAACAGTAAGGAATGTGGGCTTTTCTGTGTGGAAAATTATTTAGTGTTCTTTCAGCACCAGTGATTGTAGCTGTCGTGTGTTGCGCACAAAGGTGAGTGATTTCTCTAGTAAAAGTGTGACTGAAAAACGAACGTGCAATTTTGTAGTAAACAGAATCGTTTTGTTGTTGTTTCAGCGTGAATGAACCAGGGAACATGTCGTTCGTGAAAGAGACGGTGGACAAACTATTAAAGGGATATGATATTCGTCTTCGACCAGACTTTGGAGGTACGTTTTCAAAAGTGGGGCAACCATATTGCAGCGTGTCCATGTTTACTATGCAGATTCGCTCATCTTGGGCTCATATTGCAGCCATTTTTCAAATTCACTGTCATTGTAAATGATACCATTGTATTTGTATTGCAGGGGCCCCTGTTGCAGTTGGCATGAGTATAGATGTGGCGAGCATAGACATGGTATCCGAAGTCAACATGGTGAGTGAACTCCCCCCCCCCACACACAAATCATGAAATAATGTCCGATAATTAGAGTTATTGTGAGCCTAACTATGTTTCACAATGTTTGTATTCGGCCAATATCACTTCAGATGCCGGCCGCTGTCCATCAGACTAGTGCTGAAACATATGGTCTACATTTAGGATGCCGGAGTGGTACTCCGCTCTCTTTTGTCAGTTGTGTTGTTTTGTTTGTGTTTTTTTACTGTAACTCAATTAACATTTCTGGGTCATTCTCCCCTTGATCTTGTTCATCAGTTGTCCTAACTGTATTGGTTGTGGCATTGGAAAGTGAAAAGTACAGTATGTTCAGCAACTCCAGCACTTCAAAGAGGAGCATTAGAAGCTTAGACATGGGCATTCTCTCTCTCTCTCTCTCTCTCTCTCTCTCTCTCTCTCTCTCTCTCTCTCTCTCTCAATTAAATTTTCTTTATTGACATGATATAACAATGTACATATTGCCAAAGCTTACTTTGGAGATTTACAATATGAACATAATAAAAATAATAATAATCAATATTGTCAACGGGACAACAGTAACAACTGTAAGTAAAAATAACAATGAAAATAACATAAATTGGAACATAACAATAGACAAATGGCGTCCACCAGACAGGTAGCCTTCATCACAGGAGGGCTAGATGTAGTGCTCCAGAAGTAGACAGTCATCTGGCTCTAACCAACTGAGGCTTGCATCTATCAGAGAGCTCTTTGTAATGTCTCTCTCGTCCTCTTGTCTCTCGTCTCTGTCTCTGCTCCTGCTCTCTGTCTGCTCTGCATCACTCTGCAATGCTCTGATCTCTGACGTCTATGTAGAGCTAGGAGCTCGCAGATCTCGAGCCTGCTCATCTGCTCATCTCTCGAGAATGGCGAGAGCTAACATCGATCCGCGTGACGCTTCTATCCTCTCTCCTCTCTCTCTCTCTCTCTTCTCTCTCTCTCTCCTCTCTCTCTATCCACACACACACACACACACACACACGTACCTCTACACCCCTCACCCTGCACACACACACCTTTACCACCCCCTGCATCTGTGGCTTGTCTGTGAATACACCTGCCTGGGCACATCTTCTTACAACTGTGCCTGTGCAGTGTGTATCCTGGAGAGTGGCGCAGCATGTGCACAGCAGCTGTTCGCGTCTCTATCAGAAATAATGATCTCTGGGCTGCTCCCCTATCTGGGACTGGCACTTCAGGTGAGAAGCCACTTTAGGACAGCGCCAACACATTTCAAGTTTCAAGTTTCAAAGTTTATTTGCCATGTGCACAGGATACAACAGGTGTGAAAAATGCAGTGATAATAATAATAATAATATAGATAATAATAAATAAAAATGACAAAATAATAAAATAACTATGATGTGAGTTTTTTAAAAACAGGAGAATGCAAGTATAAACAGGTCAGTTCCAGTACTTTATTCAATGTGCAGAGGTACTGGAGTGGTTGAGGTGGGTTTATACATAAAAAGTGACTGGTAGTAGGATACACATGTAAACAGGGCTGAAAAGTGACTGGTAGCAGGAATATATAAATATTTATGGTAATATACTAATGGCAATATATATACAGTGAGGGAAAAAAGTATTTGATCCCCTGCTGATTTTGTACGTTTGCCCACTGACAAAGACATGATCAGTCTATAATTTTAATGGTAGGTTTATTTGAACAGTGAGAGACAGAATAACAACAAAAAAATCCAGAAAAATGCATGTCAAAAATGTTCTAAGTTGATTTGCATTTTAATGAGGGAAATAAGTATTTGACCCCTCTGCAAAACATGACTTAGTACTTGGTGGCAAAACCCTTGTTGGCAAACACAGAGGTCAGATGTTTCTTGTAGTTGGCCACCAGGTTTGAACACATCTCAGGAGGGATTTTGTCCCACTCCTCTTTGCAGATCTTCTCCAAGTCATTAAGGTTTCGAGGCTGATGTTTGGCAACTCGAACCTTGAGCTCCCTCCACAGATTTTCTATGAGATTAAGGTCTGGAGACTGGCTAGGCCACTCCAGGACCTTAATGGGCTTCTTCTTGAGCCACTCCTTTGTTGCCTTGGCCGTGTGTTTTGGGTCATTGTCATGCTGGAATACCCATCCACGACCCATTTTCAATGCCCTGGCTGAGGGAAGGAGGTTCTCACCCAAGATTTGACGGTACATGGCCCCGTCCATCGTCCCTTTGATGCGGTGAAGTTGTCCTGTCCCCTTAGCAGAAAAACACCCCCAAAGCATAATGTTTCCACCTCCATGTTTGATGGTGGGGATGGTGTTCTTGGGGTCATAGGCAGCATTCCTCCACGGCGAGTTGAGTTGATGGCAAAGAGCTCGATTTTGGTCTCATCTGACCACAACACTTTCACCCAGTTCTCCTCTGAATCATTCAGATGTTCATTGGCAAACTTCAGACGGCCCTGTATATGTGCTTTCTTGAGCAGGGAGACCTTGCGGGTGCTGCAGGATTTCAGTCCTTCACGGTGTAGTGTGTTACCAATTGTTTTCTTGGTGACTATGGTCCCAGCTGCCTTGAGATCATTGACAAGATCCTCCCGTGTAGTTCTGGGCTGATTCCTCACTGTTCTCATGATCATTGCAACTCCACAAGGTGAGATCTTGCATGGAGTCCCAGGCCGAGGGAGATTGACAGTTCTTCTGTGTTTCTTCCATTTGCGAATAATCGCACCAACTGTTGTCACCTTCTCACCAAACTGCTTGGCGATGGTCTTGTAGCCCATTCCAGCCTTGTGTAGGTCTACAATCTTGTCCCTGACATCCTTGGAGAGCTCTTTGGTCTTGGCCATGGTGGAGAGTTTGGAATCTGATTGATTGATTGCTTCTGTGGACAGGTGTATTTTATACAGGTAACAAACTGAGATTAGGAGCACTCCCTTTAAGAGTGTGCTCCTAATCTCAGCTCGTTACCTGTATAAAAGACACCTGGGAGCCAGAAATCTTTCTGATTGAGATGGGGTCAAATACTTATTTCCCTCATTAAAATGCAAATCAATTTATAACATTTTTGACATGCGTTTTTCTGGATTTTTTATATATATATATATATATATATATATATATATATATATATATATATATATATATATATATGTAATAGTGTAATAGTGACCAGTAGCAGGATAAATAGATAAATACTAATGGTAATATACCAATGGTAATATATATATATATACACTACCGTTCAAAAGTTTGGGGTTACTTAGAAATGTCCTTGTTTTCGAAAGAAAAGCAATTTTTTGGTCCATTAAAATAAATAATCTGATCAATAACAAATTGATCAGAAATACAGTGTAGACATTGTTAATGTTGTAAATCACTATTGTAGCTGGAAACGGCTGATTTTTTATGGAATATCTACATAGACCATGCCCATTATCAGCAACCATCAGTCCTGTGTTCCAATGGCACGTTGTGTTTGCTAATCCAAGTATATCAGCATCCCGGAGTTGCCTCTTCACTGTTGACGTTGAGACTGGTGTTTTGCGGGTACTATTTAATGAAGCTGCCAGTTGAGGACCTGTGAGGCGTCTGTTTCTCAAACTAGACACTCTAATGAATTTGTCCTCTTGCTCAGTTGTGCACCGTGGCCTCCCACTCCTCTTTCTAATCTGGTTAGAGCCAGTTTGCACTGTTCTGTGAATGGAGTAGTACACAGCGTTGTACGAGATCTTCAGTTTCTTGGCAATTTCTTGCATGGAATAGCCTTCATTTCTCAGAACAAGAATAGACTGACGAGTTTCAGAAGAAAGTTATTTGTTTCTGGCCATTTTGATCCTGTAATCGAACCCACAATTGCTGATGCTCCAGATACTCAACGTCTCAAGAAGGCCAGTTTTATTGCTTCTTTAATCAGCACAACAGTTTTCAGCTGTGCTAACATAATTGCAAAAGGGTTTTCTAATGATCAATTAGCCTTTTAAAATGATAAACTTGGATTAGCAAACACAACATGTCATTGGAACACAGGACTGATGGTTGCTGATAATGGGCCTCTGTATGCCTATGTAGATATTCCATTAAAAATCAGCCGTTTCCAGCTACAATAGCCATTTACAACATTAACAATGTCTACACTGTATTTCTGATCAATTTGCTGTTATTTTAATGGACAAAAAAATTGCTTTTCTTTCGAAAACAAGGACATTTCTAAGTGACCCCAAACTTTTGAACGGTAGTATGTATATATATATATATATGTAATAGTGTAATAGTGACCAGTAGCAGGATAAATAGATAAATACTAATGGTAAAAGCAATCAATAATCAATGGACAGCACATAATGGAGTAATACATTGAATCAATAATAATTTAGCACAGGAGCATGGATAACAGTCCATGTGTCTGATGGCTGGAGTCTTTGGCAATTGTTCGTACACATGACATTCTCAAGAACAAGGTGCAAAAAGGAAAATACAGAGAGACAAATAGAATAAAGAGAGAAACTCATTAATTCACTGATTACATAATGAATGTTCTGGATGATGTTCAATTAAGACAACAAGTTTTGGATTATGTAATATTCATCCTGGAGGATGTTCAAGTGTCTCAGGATGCTGAACTAGGATCTGTTTTGCCTTTTAGATCATAATAAATTTGGTTATATGGACAGGGAGGACCTGATCCTAGATCAGCGCTCCTATTCTGAGACACTTGACACATATAACCCTGGTCTTGTAGTGATTCTGATCACTCTAGTAAGCACTATAACCCGACCAAGCAAACCATTAATGTGCTTTGATCTTCATGAAACCAGGGACAGTTGTTTACGTTGGAAAGGGAGGCTCTTTTGCGTTGCGACAATGGAAGTAGCCTGTAGGAAATGTGTAAATGAGATGTTCCTCTTTCCCTTTGATAGAATAATCTCTTTGAAGATAATATGAAGTCCCGTGAGGACTCTATAACTTTGAAATGGCAGAATTACCTCTAAAACACTGGCTGGGCCTACATGTGTAGGCAAATTCAGTGATCTTTGGTTAATAAGCTGTTCTCTCTCTCTGTGAGAACCTCAGTGATAATTACATTTGCAGTTTTTGTCTTCCAACGGGATGTTTTCTCTCTACTCTTAACGCTGCATGGAGGAGGCAGGGGAGAGACTGTCATAGCCGTAGCCATCAGTTACCATGGGAACTAGGGTAATTACTAGCACATACTGTCTATATGACTGTGTATTGACTGCACCCAGTTGATAGTAGAACTTGAAAAACAGTATTGACCAAAGAAAATTGATGAACCATCTGAATGGCCACTGTGCACTTTCTTTGTTAAATTTCCGCAGTTTATTGAACAATTGATTTGTACTTAAGTTACTGTCCATTTCAGGTTAGTTGAATCTCGAACAACTGGAGTAGAAAGATAATAAATGTTATAGGGTAGGGTTGTGGAAATTCTTCCACAGGACACTCAAAGTCAATATGAAATGAATCACTCTTTATTGTCAGCAAGCTGGAGATTTCACAGTCAAACTTAAATGCATAAAGTCTGAAGTGAGCTCTAAAAGGACGTTCCTTACATAGAGCCTTATATACGGCTACCTAAACCTACATAAACATGATTCATTGGATTGGTTCCTACATGTGACTGGCTCCGTCTCCTATCTTAACTTAAAGAACATATTCTGGGCCTCCTCCTCATATCTTGACCAGACACAGGCAGGAACCAAGGTTTGTTTATGACACCAAACATAAGATGCACAAAAGTTAAATTTCCTTTACAGTAGCTTCAGTCAAGTTGTTGTTGTATGACAAGCTTTCCTTGTGTTGTATGGAGGAGATACGAACCCATAAGGGACTGCAGAAATACATAAAGATTTGAATTCGCTCTGAGATAGCCTGAGTAACCAGCCATCAGTACAAGTCCCTCTGCAGAGTGTGTGTGGGTGTGTGGGTGAAAAAATCTGTCATATGAAGTGGAGATTTTTTCTCTCTCCAACTGTTCCTGTCATTACTGTTTCCTTTTATATGTGTCTATCTGAAGATATCCTGCCCTAGCTACAGCCCATACACCATACTGACCCTGGAATTTACATATAGGTTCATTTTAATGTTCCATCACGAACTATGTGTAACCAGACGTCGAAGTGCACCATTATCACCATAACCCCTATGAACATTGGCAGGTCTACCAGGGGTTGTGAGGTAATTGGTGTCCTGAAGTTACGGCCATGTTTCCCAGAGTGCTGTAGGAGAGTTATAAGAGGAGCAATGGGGTTATGCTTAAACGCTGACCCCCACTTTATCATTTATGATTGCTATCGGACATGATTCTATCGATCCATGAAGCCAGCTCTCTGCAGTAGCATCATCCCTCTACAAAGTCTATAGAGCATGTCGTTGTGTGTGTGTGTGTGTGTGTGTGTGTGTGTGTGTGTGTGTGTGTGTGTGTGTGTGTGTGTGTGTGTGTGTGTGTGTGTGTGTGTGTGTGTGTGTGTGTGTGTGTGTGTGTGTGCGAGTGCGTCCTTTTGTGCATGGCAAAAGCTGAAGATGAATGCCCACATTTCCGGTGCAATGCTTTGGCCCAGCATCATATCATGTTGCTTCCATGTGTTGGTGTACACAGGCAGCTATTTATCCCTTCAGTCTTCTGCGTAATTCTTGGTCGCTTCCTGCCCCTTGGGAATAATTTATAAATCCAGTATGAAGCCTTTTATCACAATTTTAATCCTGATTTATCTATCAAACCTTATTAATGCACATATAGAGTGATCCATTCTTATCGCAGCCAAAGCTCTGTGTGTTTAGAAGCCATTACTGTCCATTACATCTCTATATACGGCTCTGGCCTTCCCTCTCACAGTGTATTAAGATCTTTTCTGGGGTAATCAGCTCCTCCTACTAAAGGCCCTTAGAGTAGAACGGAGACTATGCATGCTATTTTTAATATGCTGTTGAGGTTCACCACAGCAGTGAGGAGAGAGGGTGATTTCCCGCAGTGAAAAATGGGCTTCCAAGAAGAAGTCTCTTGGGGAAGCCTGTGGAATTGCTTTGAAAATGACCGACTGCATCAAATTATTCTTTACTGAGTTTTGATTCATAATTGATGATAATATATAACCGAATTAGCTACATTGATTTGTTGTTATAACTGCAGTTGCATTTTGAGAGTCACTGTAATTGTAGGTTATCGCTGTTTAACTTAGTATGTTGTTATTGATGGTTACTATGGTTATTAAGATGGTTATTAATTCTAACACTATCCAAAGGCGTTTTAGCTAAGAGACTTCAGTTCAGTTATAAGTGACATACTGTAGTTCATTTAGAGAATGTTTATGATAGAAACAATCAGTCACAAACTGTTAGCTGACTATTGTCACTGCACTATAAATATCTCCTTTGATTTACATCAATCGGTACGATAATATATAGCTAAGGATCTTATAGAGGTAGTGTTTGTGCGTACATGATGGCACGTGGGGACCGCATGCAAATGAGCCTTACATAGCTACTCACAATGATGCCAGTTGGTATTGTATTGGCTAATGACCTTGGAGTCTACGCATAAGTATAATCTTTCTACGAATACATGATGTCACATGGAGACCATTTGTAAATGCACTAAAGGTACACAGATTTACGTCAAGGGGTGTGATCATAGAATTACGGACGTTGCTGGTGGGATGGGGCCTGTTCATAAAGAGTGGTTTTGTGTGAATGCATGTTCATGATAAGCTAGTTGTTTGATAATGAGGAGCATCAGTTGGAGACAGGCAGCAGATGCAATGACAAATGACAATAGTAGGCTACTGCATCGGTCAGTATACAGGGATCATTACACACTGTAGGTTGAATAAATGACGCCAACAAACAAGAGCAGGTTCAACTCCCTGTGCTGTCATATGTCAAACAATGTCTGTGTCCCAAATGGCACCCTATTCCCAATACAGTGCACTACTTTTGACCAGGGCCCACTATGTAGGGAATAGAGTTCCATTTGGGACGCAGGCAGTGTCATCAGTAACATTAGGTGACTAAATGAATTACAGAATTACCAAAAATGCTTTCTTGGAGAATGTACTAGCAGTAAAATCACAGTAATATGGACAACCATGACTGATGATTCCTTACAGGGTGCATTATGGACTGAAAATAAATCAAAGGCTATACACAAGCATGCTCGTACACACACACACACACACACACAGCTAAACAGTGCGCCGTAAACTTGCAAAGAGCCTTCCCCTCAGTCCTGCCAGGTTGATACTTTGAACAGAATTGAAACTACAGATTCCACCTTTAAGGAGATTACCACAATTGCCACTGTAGAATGACAGCATCAGTGTGATAAACTGTCTGATTCAGAGTCAGACTTCACAAGGTGAGCTTCTTATCAGGACTACTCCTTTATTTGAAATGCTCTGTGATTGTCCCCGTGCAAGATTTATAAGAATTCCAAGGCAGCCACGGCTTTGTATGCAGGACCCGGCTACAGTGGTTATTTAAATCATTCATGCTCTTTCATGTAAAGACCTATCTAAAACGACATCCCTGACTGGTTCACACTTCTCACCCCTGGAACACTCCCATATTGAAATACCTGAAATAATCTCCAGCGACATCATTGGACAGTTGGTTGGAGGTGTACAAAGTCATACATTGAGTGTACATTTTGTATCTCTTTATCCTAAAAACGGATCAAATGGGAGTATGTGCCCCCTCAGTTTCAATTGGCATGACGTCCTGCCTCTGGCTCCACTCCATAGCAAGCTGCAAGGACTGAGTAGGCTGCACTGCAATATTGGACCCAACACTACACAATGTAATTGGCTTTAGTCAGAGACCATGTGGTTGGCGCCACTCATAACAGTGCTGCTGGCGTAGAGAGAGAAACACATTGCTGTTGGGTATTTTGGAGTGTGTGGCGGAGCCACTTGGACAGACTCCTGGTACAGCCCGGCCCTGCCTACAGTATGGCTGTTGTGTAATCACCTTTAGGACTGTGGCTGAATCACACAGCCATCCCACACTGTTCCTCCTGCTGCCTGGTGGGAAGCCTTCTACTGTGGCGGCCATTTTGACTGAGGAGGAGTGACGTGGGTGGAGTGGGTCTGAGGGGAAATTTGGAAAACCTGTTTGGTTGGCATGGGGATGGGTCAGAGTAGTATAGTGTGTGCCACCACGTTGCGACCTTTCCCCTCACCATTCAGACAGCTTGTGATTGGAAACTCCTCATCTCTCCTCCCAAAATAGGCCTATCCACAATCATCTCAGAACTATGGGGTGCAGCGTCAAGACACACACACACACACAAACACATATGCACTGTATGTCAATCAAAAATAAGGAAGTGAATATACTACAGTAGACTAACATCACCATATGTTCATCTCCTTCCAGGACTATACATTAACCATGTACTTCCAGCAGTACTGGAGGGACAAGAGGCTGGCGTACTTAGGGATTCCACTGAACCTCACCCTGGATAACCGGGTAGCAGATTCACTCTGGGTCCCTGATACCTACTTCCTGAATGACAAGAAGTCCTTCGTCCACGGTGTGACGGTCAAGAACCGCATGATCCGTCTCCACCCGGATGGAACCGTGCTCTACGGCCTGAGGTGGGTTCCAAAGCAGTGGAACCAATGGATTCTAGATTATTGCATCCAAGACTGATTCATTTGAACAGATATCACAATATTTTATTTGATTATTTTATAGTAATAAATGCAGTATGGTATGTGGTATGTATGAGCTGCTAGGTTTTGTATGTGTCTTTTTAAAGAAATGGGGCATTCCATTCCCACTCCTCTCTTTTTAGTCTGTTTATTGGATAGCATAGAAAAAGAGGAAACATAGAGGAGAGAGTCCTAAAATAGCAGTGGACCAGATTTGAAACCATGCTGCAGTGATCTTTGTGTGCCGGAGACAGTGGCTTAGACCACTGGACCACCTCTAGGCCACCAGCTGCTATGTTTTTGGCTAGGAAATATAATCCTTTCCTATGGGCTCAATTTAGCTTTTCCCTCGACATATTGGTGCAGTTGCGTGTACATTGTCATGCTTTGTTGAAATATGTATTTTTCAAACATATGGTAAGATGAGAATAAAACATTATTTTTAAAACATCAATTGTTTAGATGATGACTCAAGCTCAGCTGTAGCTTTGTTATGATTCCCTGTTTTCAATATCCATAACCATTGGCCTTTGTTTTTTGACAAGTCCTGAATTATTAATCAGGATAATGAATATGTATAATGCATAGTCTTCTTCCAAATTGAGCCATCCAGCATGGAAATTCAATGATTTTTGCATTTTAATCACTCGCAGTGGACTAGTTTTGAATTATACACAGTTGTTTTATATCAATTGAATTCAATACAATGCATTGATTCTGTTCTTTTAACATACTGTAAATCTGTTTCATGTACCCCATCTAAAGAACGTATGTATGTGGTTGCATGAGCTTTACCCTGTGTACAGCTCATATAGAGTTCTGTTATTAGCTGTGTATGTGTGTGTGTGCGTGTGTGCTTACGTGGATAAGTGTGTGTGTTTGTGTGTGCATGCGCAAGTGCGTGTACTTCCTGTGTGTGCGTGTGTGTGCACGCTTGCACGTGCACGGATGGGATCATTCCTCTTGTCTAATAGCTAATAGCTTCTGACAGACACACTCGTCTGGATGTAATGCAATTCTGAGATGACAGTATAGCTATTTGATCTGGCATTCTTATCCATAAAGATAAATATGACGTATTGTTTTAGATTGTGGAGCTTAATCTGTTTAATGGTTACAGCTTTACTAATGGAGTCCAGGAATTCAGGAATTCAAACGTGGTTCGATTCTGACTTCTTCAAGCCAAGGGCACATGACCAAAAGGACTAAGCCCCTAGGGTTCATATCTATGCCATTTAGCAGACGCTTTTATCCAAAGCGACTTACAGTCATGCGTGCGTACATTTTACATATGGGTGGCCTTGGGAACGAACCCATTATCCTGGCGCTGCAACACCATGCCCTACCAACTGAGCCATACAGGACCACAATCACTTGTTATTATCCCAACTCAATCAATCACTCACCCTGAAAAATAAGGTCCAACTGTAAGTGATAATGTATGGAATGGAATGCCACAGTAGGATCTCCAGACATTGATCTATTACTATGTGGAATGTTTATTACATTTACATTTTAGTCATTTAGCAAACGCTCTTATCCAGAGCGACTTACAGTTAGTGAATCCATATTTATTTTTTCATACTGGCCCCCCGTGGGAAGCGAACCCACAACCCTGGCGTTGCAAACGCCATGCTCTATCAACTGAGCTACATCCCTGCCGGCCATTCCCTCCCCTACCCTGGACGATGCTGGGCCAATTGTGCGCCGCCCATGAGTCTCCCGGTCGCGGCCGGCTGCGACAGAGCCTGGATTCGAACCAGCATCTCTAGTGGCACAGCTAGCACTGCGATGCAGTGCCTTAGACCACTGCGCCACTCAGGAGACTATATATTACATTACCTGTCCAGTAACCGAGACATGAGTGTACAGTAATGATGAGTTCTGGTTCTGAAGGCTTATTTGGTCATATCTTTAGGTAATCTGGTCTACCTGGCTGAACCTGATACCAACTGAAACACTAGGACTAAAGATCAATGCACAGATATAGTTTCTCCTCAACAATTATAGTCTATACTGGAATGTATTCAGTTTCATCTCTTCTTGTTTACAAGTGGGAACAGAGAGATGTCCTTTCTCTCTGTGGAGTTGACTGTGGTTATTCAGGATATCATAATGTCATGGTGAATAACATTATACTGTAATTACATATGGTTTCATGCACAGGTGAGAAGTTAAGGTGGATCCACAGCAGACAGTATGTCTGGAGAATGTGTGTGGGTTCCAGTAAATATTGAGTTAATGTGATCCTCTTTCCCCCTTGTGTGTGTGTGTTGGCCTCAGGATCACCACGACGGCAGCCTGTATGATGGACCTGAGGAGGTACCCTCTGGACGAGCAGAACTGCACTCTGGAGATTGAGAGCTGTGAGTGACCTAAATACCATCAACCTCTGAAATGACTATTTCAGTATTAGATTTCAGTATTTCAATATTTCAATTCAATTTTGTTTTTCAGTTTAAGACTTCCGTATAACATTTTACTATTTAGTATAAATACAATTTTTGTATAAGATATGCAAATACAATCACAACAGAGATTACTGTGACATGTTAAAGGTCCAATGCAGCCGTTTTTATCTCAATATCAAATCATTTCTGGGTAACAATTAAGTACCTTACTGTGATTATTTTCAATTAAAATGTTAAACAAGAGACAGAAATTGACTGTCTGGGAGTAGTAGTGGGGAGGGGAAAACGGAAAACTAGCTGTTATTGGCAGAGATGTTTAGAACTCTCTTTCTTATTTGTCTATTATACTAATTTACTGCCAGGCCAAAACTCCATCCCACCAAAACAGGCTGAAATTTCAGGCAGTCTTTTTAAATAGCTCTTGCACTAAAAGGGCATTAGCATAATTTTCATAATTTCACAGTATTATTCCAACCTCTTAGTGTGGAAATATACACCGAGTATACCAAACATTAGGAACACCTTCCTAATATTGAGACACATACAGGTGCGCCTGGCACCTACTAGCATACCCCGTTCAAAGGCACTTACATTTTTTTGTCTTGCCCATTCACACTCTGAATGGCAGATACAGTGCATTTGGAAAGTATTCAGACCCCTTGACTTTTTCCACATTTTGTTAAGTTACAGCCTTATTCTTAAATTGATTAAATAGTTCCCCACCCCCCCCCCTCATCAATATGCACACAATACCCCATAATGACAAAGCAAAAACAGGTTTTTAGACATTTTAGCAAATTTATAAAATAAAATAAACTTAAATATCACACTTACATACGTATTCAGACCCTTTACTCAGTACTTTGTAGAAGCACCTTTGGCAGCGATTACAGCCTCAAGTCTTTTTGGGTATGAGGCTAAAAGCTTGGCACACCTGTATTTGGGGAGTTTCTCCCATTCCTCTTTGCAGATCCTCTCAAGCTCTGTCAACTCTGTCAGGTTGAAGCCACTCCTGCGTTGTCCTGGCTATGTGCTTAGGCTCGTTGTCCTGTTGGAAGGTGAACCTTCACCCCGGTCTGAGTTCCTGAGCGCTCTGGAGCAGGTTTTCATCAAGGATCTCTCTGTACTTTCCTCCATTCATCTTTGCCTCGATCCTGACTAGTCTCCCATTCCCTGTTGCTGAAAAACATCCCCATAGCATGATGCTGCCACCACCATGCTTCACCGTAGGGATGGTGCCAGGTTTCCTCCAGACGTGACGCTTGGCATTCACGCCAAAGAGTTCAATCTTGGTTTTATCAGACCAGAGAATCTTGTTTCTCATGGTTTGAGAGTCTTTAGGTGCCTTTTGGCAAACTCCAAGCGGGCTGTCATGTGCCATTTACTGAGGAGTGCTTCCGTTTGGCCACTCTACCATAAAGGCCTGATTGGTGGAGTGCTGCAGAGATGGTTGTCCTTCTGGAAGGTTCTCCAATCTCCACAGAGGAACTCTGGAGCTCTGTCAGAGTGACCATCGGATTCTTGGTCACCTCCCTGACCAAGGCCCTTCTCCCCCGATTGCTCAGTTTGGCCAGGCGGCCAGCTCTAGGAAGAGTCTTGGTGGTTCCAAACTTCTTCCATTTAAGAATGATGGAGGCCACTGTGTTCTTGGGGACCTTCAATGCTGTAGACATCTTTTGGTACCCTTACCCAGATCTGTGCCTCGACCTGTCTCGGAGCTCTACGGACAATTCCTTCGACCTCATGGCTTGGTTTTTGCTCTGACATGCACTGTCAACTGTGGGACCTTATATAGACAGGTGTGTGTCTTTCCAAATCATGTCCAATCAATTGAATTTACCACAGGTGGACTCCAATAAAGTTGTAGAAACATCTCAAGGATGATCAATGGAAACAGGATGCACCCTGAGCTCAATTTCGAGTCCCATAGCAAAGGGTCAGAATACTTATGTAAATTAGGTATTTCTGCTTTTTATTTTTAATGCATTTGCAAACATTTCTAAAAACCTGTTTTCGCTTTGTCATTATGGGGTATTGTGTGTAGATTGCTGACGATTAAAAAAAACTAAAAAATAAAAAACTTTTTAGATTAAGGCTGTAACGTAAAAAATGTGGAAGAAGTAAAGGGGTCTGAATACTTTCCGAAGGCACTGTATACAGAATCCATGTCTCACTTGTCTCAAGGCTTAAAAATCATTCTTTAACCTGTCTCCTCCCCTTCATCTACACTGATTGAAGTGGATTTAACAAATGACATAAATAAGGGATCATATCTTTCACCTGGATTCACCTGGTCAGTATATGTTATGGAAAGAGCAGGTGTTTTTAATGTTTGTATACTTGTATACTCAGTGTATATAAAACACAGGAAAATCACGTTTTTGATTGCACTGGGCCTTTTTAGCAGCGCAATTGAGTGAGTGGAGATTTAAAGATCTGTGACTTCGTTTCTTCACATGGTATCCCACTCCAGTACGTTATTTCTAACCCTGTCTTTCTTTCTGTGGTTCAGATGGATACACGACAGATGACATTGAGTTCTACTGGAAGGGAGGAGACAATGCGGTGACGGGGGTGACACGCATTGAGCTGCCACAGTTCTCCATAGTGGACTACAAGCTGGTGTCCAGAAATGTTGTCTTTTCCACAGGTAAAGCCCATTAAAAAATTACACATCCTTACCATCTTATTTTCCATCTAGCTTTTTACCCAACCAGTGCTTCACTATGAAACAATTCACAGCTACTTCAGTTTTTTAGGGTCTGTATCCTCCAGTTCAGATTAAATGTTATCGGTATCCTTGACATAATTTGGTGCGTGGGTGCGTGAAAGTTCATGTATGCGTGCACATGCATGTCAGCATGTGAGAGTTTGTATGTATATGCACTTGCTTGTATGTGAGAATTCCTCACCATCCATACCTTATTTGTGTCCCTGACGGCAGCCATGAAAGTTTAGTGTCCAGTGTGGCCCCCTCTATACTCTTTCCCCTTTCCCTGGCTCCTCAGCGTGGCCCCCTGTCTCCCCTCTCCCTGGCTCCTCAGTGTGGCCCCCTGTCTCCCCTCTCCTGGCTCCTCAGTGTGGCCCTCTGTCTCCCCTCTCCTGGCTCCTCAGTGTGGCCCCCTCTCTCCCCTCTCCCTGGCTCCTCTGAGGACCCCTGCATCATACTTCAAAGGACTGTCTCCCTCCCCGAGCCTGGCTAATGACCAACGTTCCTTCATGTGCTGCTGTTGCTGGCTTCACTCACACAGATTCACACAGGAGCAGTGAATGATGGTAGGATGGAAATTACCCAGCTGTTTTCTTCAACTCTTTAAAAGAGAGAAGCCATGGAGAAGCAGCCTGGGAAACAGGGCATCAGAAATTCATGTGGGGGAAAACAAAAATATATATATAATAAATAATAATTATTCCCCTCCAAGCTCACAAGGAAACATTGCCGTAAAGATTTCAAGTTTCAAGTTTTAATGTCACATGCACGAGTACAGTGAAATGCCTTTCTTGCAAGCTCTAAACCCAACAATGCAGTAATAACAATGTAGTACCAAAATAACATAAGGTAGAACAAATACACGGCAAATAAAAATAAGAAATAAGAAGGACAGCAGAAAGTAAGTCAGCATACTATATACAGGGTCAGTCAGTTCCACTACCATATTTACAATATGCAGGGATACTGGAGTGATAGAGGTAGATATGTATAGGGATAAGGTAACTAGGCATCCGGATTTTAGATAATCAGAGTGGCAGCAGCGTATATAATGATTGTATGTGAGTGGGTGTGCGTGTGTGTAGAGTCAGGATAAATGTAGGTGCATGTTATATGTGTGAGCAAATTATGAATTGAGTGTTTGTGTGTGTGTTGGCGTGTCAGTGTGTGTGAGTGTGTAGGGCCCTGTGAGTGTGCATAGAGAAAGTGCAAAAATGTAAATAAATTAAATACAAAGGTCAACTCAGATTGGTTGTTTCCACATGCTTTTTTTCCCCTCTCACTTTACTAGTGGATAAAGGGGATCGGTGTTGAACTGGTGAACATGTCAGAATCGCACCCGAACATTACGAGAGTTTTCACGGTCATGGTCGTCATGGGTGTTGTCATGGTTACCTTATCACCATCAGCACCATCCTCCTATTCCTTCCTATCCTCCTTCTCATCCCCCTCTTCCTCCTCCTTATAACATATGGTGTACTCTCCCACTCACTGACATACGTCCAGAGACACAGCTGGTATGGATGCTTAGTTCCACACCTACATCCTCTATACCCCCAGTCTTCTTTCAACACCTACTTTTGCCTCCCACTGTTTCTCGCATAATGTTGCCATTCTTAAAGGGACAGTTCACTCCCATGACGAATGCACCTCATCTCATGTATACAGTACATGGACAGTAATCCATGGATCCAGATAGTTTGTGATCCGAGAGTTTGATTGGTTTGTTTAGCATTTGCGTGTGCAAATCAATGGGAGTGGTATGATCCGTGTTAGCGTGATTGAAATCCCATGCTTAAATAAATAGCCAAGATAATGTGTGTAATATTGGATGATAATTTTTAAGTAAACTTGTCTTAGTAGCAGTGAAAGGACTTCCTTCCATCCCTTAGAGGTGTACAACTGACACCCTTAAGTTCCACAGTCCTTCTGGTACTCGTTTGTCCTTGGCCCTTATTTGATCAATAAGTCTCATTGATTGGCTGAGGAGTCCACACACCTGGACACCCAGATGTTAATTAGTCTCTGATTAACAAGGCAAGGCATGAATGAAAACCAGCAGACGCTATGACCCTTGAGGACCAGAGTCATGCACCACTGGTTTAATGCTATACAGAGAGGAATGTGCAATATACATTCAACTCAAATGGACATTTATGATGACAGATATGAGATAAATCATGAAGTGTGTTTTTCATAAGCCAGGTCAGAGAAGAAATACATACATTACCAAACATTACATTTTATATCATCACAGTGTGTATTGAAATATTTTATTATTTGCCACGCATTCACCGCCAACGTGTGTCAAATGGTTGTGAAATAAGGTTCAAGGATGCTTGTTTCCATGGTGATAAATCCAACCCATGCTGCCATTGCCATAGAAACAAAAACAAAAATACGAGGTGTCCCAGTATGCTCCTCGAATCAAGAAGTCATTCATTCTATTCATCCGCTCAAAATCCTGTTTTCATAGGTGCCTACCCACGACTGTCTTTGAGCTTCAAGCTAAAGAGGAACATTGGCTACTTTATCCTGCAGACCTACATGCCCTCAATCCTGATCACCATCTTGTCCTGGGTCTCCTTCTGGATCAATTACGATGCCTCGGCTGCAAGAGTGGCATTAGGTAGGTGTACAAGCACCATATGTTACACATTGTACAATATTAACATGTATCTGAATCCCGTTTCCCTATCATTATGACTGATCACAACATATCCCACTAGTTATACACTCTTAGAAAAAAGGTACTATCTAGAACTAAAAAGGGTTATTCGGCTGTCCCAATAGGACAACTTTTTGAATATGTCACGATCGTCGAAAGGAGGAGACCAAAGCGCAGCGTGTTGAGCGAACATCGTAGACTTTATTAATAAGAAACCACGATCAAAAACAACAAACCAAAATAGGACGAAAGTGAAGTCCAATACTGATATAGACTAACAGCAACAAGGAAACAAAAACCCACAAAACCAAGGTGAAACCACACCGTATAAATATGGCTCCCAATCAGAGATAACGAGCCGACAGCTGACACTCGTTACCTCCGATTGGGAGTCATATGACTAATCAACATAAAGAACAATTAACCCAAACATAGAACTGCACAACCAGAAATCCCCAACATAGAAATACACCCAACCAATGAAATTAAACAACCCTGGCTCAAATATCAAGGTCCGTGGAGCCAGAGTGTCACATTACCCCCCCCTAAAGGTGCGACCTCCGGGCGCACCAGCATACAGTCTAGGGGAGGGTCTGGGTGGGCGTCTGTCCATGGTGGCGGCTCTGGCCCAGGTCGTGGTCCCCACCCCACCTTAGTCACTCTCCGCTTCCGTATCCCCCTCCACATTACCACCCCCCAACTAAACCCCACTGGATTAAGGGGCGGCACCGGACTAAGGGGCAGCACCGGACTAAGGGGCAGCCCTGAACTAAGGGGCCGCACCGGGCTAAGGGACAGTACCTGACTAGCTGGCTCTGGCGGATCCTGGCTGGACGGCTCTGGCGGATCCTGGCTGGACGGCTCTGGCGTATCCTGGCTGGACGGCTCTGGCGGATCCTGGCTGGCGGAAGGCTCTGGCTGATCCTGTCTGGCAGAAGGCTCTGGCTGATCCTGTCTGGCAGAAGGCTCTGGCTGATCCTGTCTGGCGGAAGGCTCTGGCTGATCCTGTCTGGCGGAAGGCTCTGGCTGATCCTGTCTGGCGGAAGGCTCTGGCTGATCCTGTCTGGCGGAAGGCTCTGGCTGCTCCTGTCTGGCGGAAGGCTCTGGCTGATCCTGTCTGGCGGAAGGCTCTGGCTGCTCCTGTCTGGCGGAAGGCTCTGGCTGATCCTGTCTGGCGGAAGGCTCTGGCTGCTCCTGTCTGGCGGAGAGCTCTAGCGGCTCCGGTCTGGCGGACGGCTCTGAAGGCTCATGGCAGACGGGCGGCTTTGCAGGCTCAGTACCGACGGGCAGCTCCTGCGGCGCTTGGCAGACGGACAGTTCAGACGGCGTTGGGCAGACGGGCAGTTCAGGCGCCGTTGGGCAGACGGGCAGTTCAGACGGCGTTGGGCAGACGGACAGTTCAGGCCCCGTTGGGCAGACGGCAGACTCTGGCCGTCTGAGGCGCATCGTAGGCCTGGTGCGTGGTGCCAGAACAGGAGGTACCGGGCTGAGGACACGCATCTCAGGGCTAGTGCGGGGAGAAGCAACAGGGCATGCTTGGCCCTGGGGACGCACCGTAGGCCTGATGCGTGGTGCCGGAACTGGAGGTACCGGGCTGAGGACACGCATCTCAGGGCTAGTGCGGGAAGCAGCAACAGGGCATGCTTGGCCCTGGGGACGCACATAAGGCCTAGTGCGGAGAGCAGCAACAGGGCATGCTGGACCCTGGGGACGCACATGAGGCCTAGTGCGGAGAGCAGGAACAGGCCGGGCTGGGCTGGCGACGCGCACCGTATCTCTGGTGCGAGAGGCCGGAACAGGCCGGGCCGGGCTGGCGAAGCGCACCGTATCCCTGGTGCGTGGAGTAGGAACAGGCCGGGCTGGGCTGGCGACGCGCACCGTATCCCTGGTGCGAGTGGCCGGAACAGGCCGGGCCGGGCTGGCGAAGCGCACCGTATCCCTGGTGCGTGGAGTAGGAACAGGCCGGGCTGGGCTGGCGACGCGCACCGTATCCCTGGTGCGAGTGGCCGGAACAGGCCGGGCTGGGCTGGCGAAGCGCACCGTATCCCTGGTGCGGGGAGTAGGAACAGGCCGGGCTGGGCTGGCGACGCGCACCGTAGGCTTCGTATGAGGCTCAGGAACAGGCCGGGCTGGGCTGGCGACGCGCACCGTACACTTGGTGCGGGTGGCAGGAACAGGCCGAACCGGGCTGGCGACGCGCACCGTACACTTAGTGCGAGGGGCCGGAACAGGCCGTACCGTACGGGGAACACACACTACTGGCTGTACCTCGGGATTAGGAACGGGCCGGACCGGACTGGTTACACACCCCAGTACCTCTCGCCGAGCCTCTACACCTTCCTTCCCTGCTTTACCCAGTAGCCCCCTTAACCTGGTAGCCTCCTGAATCCGTCCCTTCTCTGCCTCCGTCAGCCCCCTTAACCTGGTAGCCTTCTGCATCTGCCTTGTGGCCGCCTCCTGCTGCTCAGTCGCCCAAGCCATGTGCCCCCCCCCAAAAATTTCTTGGGGTTGCCTCTCGTCCTTCCGACGTTGGCTCTGCCGACGCCGTTGCTCCTCTCGCCGTCGCCTCTCCACCGTCTCGCTCCATGGACGGCGATCCATACCCTCCAGGATCTCCTCCCAAGTCCAGGACCCTTTACCGTCCAACAGTTCCTTCCATGTCCAGACCCTTGGCTCCTGGACGCGCTGCTTGGTCCTTTTATGGTGGGTTTTTCTGTCACGATCGTCGAAAGGAGGAGACCAAAGCGCAGCGTGTTGAGCGAACATCGTAGACTTTATTAATAAGAAACCACGATCAAAAACAACAAACCAAAATAGGACGAAAGTGAAGTCCAATACTGATATAGACTAACAGCAACAAGGAAACAAAAACCCACAAAACCAAGGTGAAACCACACCGTATAAATATGGCTCCCAATCAGAGATAACGAGCCGACAGCTGACACTCGTTACCTCCGATTGGGAGTCATATGACTAATCAACATAAAGAACAATTAACCCAAACATAGAACTGCACAACCAGAAATCCCCAACATAGAAATACACCCAACCAATGAAATTAAACAACCCTGGCTCAAATATCAAGGTCCGTGGAGCCAGAGTGTCACAGAATAACCCTTTTTGGTTCCAGGTAGAACCCTTTTGGTTTCAGGTAGAAACCTTTTGGTTCCAGGTAGAAACCTTTTGCGTTCCATGTAGAACCCTTTCCACAGATGGTTCTACATGGAACCCAAAAAGGTTCTACCTGGAACCAAAAAGGGTTTTCCTATGAGGACAGCTGAAGAACCCTTTTGGAACCCTTTTGTCTAAAAATGTAGGGTCACACATACAGTCTAGTCCATGAGATAATTATATTCTAATTCTATTTTGATGGTATACTCTGAATTACTGAATGGACAGATTCCCCTCCACTCACTCATGAACATAAAGCAGAGAAATGGAAGGTCTTTGCAAAGGCATGCAATATCTGGTGGCTTGCTAATAAGGAGTCCACCAGAAAAAAAACATTAATTCCCTCAGTGATGGATCGTTATGGGATTTCCGTTGCCACCCAGAAGGGTGCTTTATGGAGGCTGCATGCCGGTAACAGCAGCAATCAAGATATCAATGCAGTGGGAAAACAATTGAATTGTTTGAAGGTAAAATTGATTAGGAAGCAGTGTTACAGTGAATTCCAAATCCAGACGACCCACTTGGCCCTAATCTTGTTCCAGCACATTTTCTTCACTCTCTCGTGGTGTACCTTTACTCAATAACTCTGAGCAAAAGAAATATAATTCCCCATTGAGTTACAGTATGCACATTTTAGTCATTTAGCAGACACTCTTTTCCAGAGCGATTTACAGTAGTGAGTGCATACATGTTCATCCTTTTTTTCATACTGGTCCCCTGTGGGAATTGAACCCACAATGCTGCGCGTTGCAAGCGCCATGCTCTACCAACTGAGCCACACAGGACCTACAGTGCTTTCAGTGTAGCTCACCTTCTGCATGCATTCAGTGATGTACAGAATGCAAGGTGCAAGTAAAGCAGGGTACAATACCATGGACCTGTACATGCAGCGTTCAGCGATGTAACACTCTGAATGTTTGGTCAAAGTACCAGTGCTGTTCCATGTACTGGTGCTGTTTAAAGTACTGTATTCCCAACTTTGGTTGATGTCCTCTAGAGTTGCTCATTTGAAGGCCCTGCGATCATACTTCCTCACTTTTAGACTAGAGTATCTTCTGACACTTAGAGACACTCAAGTGTGGACCAAATCTCATTTCTTGATAACCTCGTACCCAATTTCAGAGAACAGATGATAGGAATAATGTATCGATGATGCCATTAGCAAGCAGAGTGCTACAGAATCTGAAGTCATTTGCACAATGCTTTAGTGGCTCCTTCATAATGATTATGCAGCAGAAATAGAGTAGGGAGGCTGTCTGAAACATACAATTAGAGAGACATTAAAGGGGCAGTCTGGGATTGGTGGATCCATTTAATTTTTTTATGTTTTATTAATTATATATACCCATTGATTCTTATAAATGCCTCATGAGCTTAGTTCAACTGTCGTACCCCATCATAGACCAACATATTAGCTTGTTTTACGTCATTGTTTGTAAACAATGTAATGGTAAACGTACACTGTAAAGCATGAAAACATGGTTGCAACTATCATTTTGGTATCATGTATGGTCAGTCCTTAGCACCAAAGTGACTTACAGTCATGCGTGCATACATTTTACGTATGGGTGGCCCCGGGAATTTAACCCACAACCCTGGCGGTGCAAGCGCCATGCTCTACCAACTGAGCCATATATGATCACATAGGCTCTATACCACAGTAATTACCAGTAGAGTAACCCATATAGTTCATTGTTCAGTAGCAGACCAGTATGTTAGCAGATGTGGAGTACTTACCACTTGCTCACTTTTGGGAGGTACTATTTAAATGCATAATACCTACACACCTGTCACATTTTTCCTTTGAAAGTGGCTAGTGTAAGGTTCTGTATTTATTTTCATA